TCTTGTGGACCTTCCTGAGGTTCGTTTTGGGCTGTGGTCAGAGGCTCCATGGCTTCAGGTGGAGCAGAAGAAGACGATGGAGGCATTCCATTGGATATTGACAATGTGCACATGCTCCTCCAAGGTCAGGCTATTTCTGTACTTTCATAGATGTTGTGACCCACTGCTGTCAGTTTTACTTTGCACCTACGTTGTTTACTGTTTCTTGTGTCTGCGCAACAAACACATACAGAAGATGGAACTTGCATTCCGTTCACCACATAGTTTTTCATTAAAAAACATTTTTGTAGCTGCTTTGTTCACTGTTTGCCCAGCTGAATTGGAGAATTCAGTTCTTCTGTTTATGTTTGTTTAGTCTATGCAGTTTGTATTGTTAGCAATATCATAAAATAAGTGCTTTTTTTCTTTTAAAGAGTCCAAAACGGTTGAGAAAACCTCAGCTTGTTCAGCCCCAGCCATCAGGTGTACAAGTGTCCCTATAATTTATCAAGGAAAACATTCATTTTTCAAGTCAAACTGGTTTTTAATCACACATATAATCGCAGTTATTGTCCTTGAGTTTGATCAACAAACACATTGTGTTACTGCACACAGCATAACTACAGAGTAGAACAGGTAAATGAGGTTACTTCCAAATTACAATTACAGTTACAATTAATTTTGATTGTGCAAATATTTTGTAATTAAAACTTGTTAGCTCTCTGACTTTTGTTCTCTCAAATATGAATTCATTTATTTATTACAAATCTGTCTTCTTGTGTTAATGAATATTTACAGCCTAATGTTGCAGCTTTGTCGTGATGCACATATCAAAAGGGAAAGAAGCTTTTGTGAATATTCTACATATATACTGTATAATATTTAACATTTCTATTGTGTACTGATGCAAGTTGTGTCTTTCACCTGTTTCAGGCCCAGTGTTTATTATGTATTCTCACATTTGTTAAAATCCGGTTCAGGATCAGATATTCTCTTATGGTGTATCAGAGAATATCTGATATAAACACTTTGACAATGCGCCAAAACACACACTTTGAAGTGCCGAAGCAGTAGTAGTAGTACTTTATGGGTGTGACCTGATAACCGAGTGTTTATGGTGCATATCACAAAGGCACAAATGCCATCAACACTGAGTCCCTGATTCAGGTCTCAGCCAGTTGAGCCTTGCTGTATGTGTGTTCCCCTGACTGCTGAAAAGACAAAATGCCTCAAAACTAAGTAATATACAGGTTAATACCAAAAAAATCATACAAAACATCCTGTCACTACATTAAACGTCCCCTCTAAACATACTTGAAGAATATCAAATTACCCAAGTTTGAATAATAATTTCTATCTGATATGTTTTTTTTCTTCCAAAAAATGGTTCAATTACCTTGATGAAAATCCTTAATCTGATCAATTCCTCCTCCCTCAGTGAAAAAGCTGAAAGTTGATCTACTGGATGCACATTGTCTCCTATTTCATTCTCATTGTATGTGCAAGGCAACCCTAAAGTTTCCACATCACTTTAGTAGATTGCGTATTGCACTGTCTTCCAAACTAGCTGTGATGTGATAAATCCACACAGTAAAGTCAGGCTTTAGGTTGACACAGAGAAACTCCACCTTCAGCAGAACAGCTTGAAAAGAGTCTTATAATATTGAACTCTGAACATGCATCATTCTGCATCGTGAAAGTCAAGAAAAGGCCCAGTAAAGTGACAACGACCAAAACTGATTTCTTAGTAGAGGGAACCTTCGTTTGTGTGTGTATTCTGTTTGTTTGATTGCTTGCAAACATCTATAATTATGTATAGACTGTGTTTTGCTCTAAAAAAAAACATATTTGACTGATGCCAATCTTACAATGGACTAAGAGCATGAAAACACAATTTGAAGTGTTTGTGCTGTGAATGCCAGGTGAACTGGGTGGAGTCAAGCGAATAATAAGCGTAGGTGTTGCCTGCCTCGGCAGGCTCTTAAACAAACAGCAGAATCAGTGACTCAGTCTTCATGGTCAAGTTTGATATCAACAAGGTAGTCTATGGAAAGTGATTCTGATTCCCTCAGTAATGATATCAATTTTCCTTTAGCATGCTTGTAATCTAAATTTCATCTGTTACAAAAGAGACACAACTGTGTGATTCAGCAGTTTGGCCTTAACGGCAGCACAAACTGAGAACATGCCTGAGCTAAGACTCTAGAGAACAGACACTGCACAGAAAGCAGTGATTAAAGATGCATGAAAGTGACAAAAACCATCTAATTACAAGCATCATTCGTCTTTTTATGTTGGATGCAGTCATACAATTCAGTCATGCACCCCTAGGTGGTCTCTGGCTCTACTTATCCTGCTAATAAAGAAAAGTTTCAGCTGAAACAGGCAAATAGTCAATCTACAAAGCTACCTGTTAAACTTTCCATCATATTAGTCAGGGAAAACCTTTCTAATGTCATATATAGTGATTTCATAATGGTGTATACCATAAGAGTTTCATATTTTGGCAACAGGAGCTCAGGATGTGGTCTAGTACCCCTGTGTATGTGCATATGTCTCTGTCTGGAAGTTCATCATGACTGTGAGTGTGTCTCTATGTATATTTGCTGTGTGTGTGTGTGTGTGTGTGCGCGCGCGCGTGTGTGTGTCTCAGTATCTATGTCTGTCACTGTCTTGGAAACCATCCCATCTTGTAGTCAGATCCTAGCCCTTAGCCTCACTTTAGCTTAAAGAGGAAGCCTTCACTCCAGGGTGTCCAGAGCAAAAGACGAAGAGCAAGTTTTCTGATGCAGTTGACACTGTTCTTAGTTGTTACACATGGATTTGCTGACTATTGATTATAAGAATGGAAGGTCGAAAAGTTGTTCGGTTTTCTGATGTTGGTGAGTAGTTCATGACCTACATTTACCCACAGCACCCACTGCAGGTAACTTCACAGCAGCACGATCCAGCTATGAACACTACACAAGGGCACAGGTTGTTTGGAGAAATATACTGGAATGTATTTGATAAAGCATTTTGTACATTTATTGCATTAGCTGGTGGTTTTTAAACCAGCTGGAAGTGAAAGTGACAGTTCACAGAAAAACTTGTGAGTGGAGCTTTTGCATATGACATCAGAAAGCCCCTGATATATAATATGTCTTGCTTGTGTATAAACAGTTTCTTTCTTTCCCTAACAGTGGAGCATGAACAGATTCAGAAGAGGACATTCACCAACTGGATAAATGCTCAACTTGCTAAGGTATGTTGGGACGTCATGTTTGTGTGATGCTTGTATAATGACTGAGTATCTTTCATTGTGTTTGGGATATTCGTATCTCTAATGTGTTTCGAAGCCAACAAGCTGAAGGCAACACAGTCTGATGTAAAATAAGCAGTTGAAAATTTGAGTTTTATCTCTTTTATGATTGTCAGAGTGATAGTTCTGCTCAGGGTGATGTCAAATAGCTGATTGTTTTCCAAGTAAATGCTGCAGTTCCTCCACAATGACTTGTTAACACAGGTGTCAATTGAAAATCTATCTTTTGGAGTACGGTATTTGGGGATTTTAGAGTGTAGTGGAAAGAAGCAAGAGCAATACTGCAGAAAGGAACTAATGTGAAAATGTTACACAAACTTTGAAGGTGGCAGACATGCATCACATGTAACACATGTAAGAATAGAAGTGTTCTGCACATACTGCATTTATTCTCAAACATGAAAAACTTCGAGGATGTTTGTGTTGCAAAGAATCAAAAAACAAATGTCGATGTGGCCCTATCAGAATTGCAGATTAACGTTTTGCCTTAAAACATTTTTTTATTTTTGCACTTTATCATTATCTTAATATTCAATGAAAGAGTGGTAACATATGAAACATGTCCAAGAACATAGAAAGTGCTGAAGTGAGTGACGTCATGCTGCGGTTGAGCTGTAAATGATATGAAGCGAGCTGTGGAGTGTAACATGCTGACTCACTGGTCATGCAGCAGTGGAGCAGCTCAGGCTGGAAAGAGACCTTGAGCTGCTGACACGAGCCCGAAATATAAATAGTGGTCCAGCTGAGCAGAGCGGCACGTAATCTGAACCGAGACTCCTCTTCATAACCTCATGTTCATAGGACTGTAACTCTAACTCCAAAATCACTTGTTCATAACCTGCCATCTGTCACTCCACTCTGAGCCCACAGACAACTCTGACAGGCAGATACTTGCTCCATTATGTCTGTAAGACAGTGTTTACTGTTGTAACTTAATCTGATGCTTGAAGCCAGAAAATGCTTTTTGATAAATACATTAAAGTCTCATGTCTTTAAGATATGGCTATAAAAGAGTTGGTGGGCTCTCCCCCTGTGAATTTTGGGGTTTATTTGTAAAGGTGCTGTGTAGCATTAAAAAAAGGTCCAATTTGTCCAATTGACCAAATATACTATCTTATATTAACATTTATTGTCCCGCAAGTGTTGATATACCTGCATATACCACTACATTTTTCATAAAGCTTGGTGCTTCCTGTTGCACTTGAGCTTACTTTGGTTCAGAAATTACAATATACTACAATATGCAATGTCACATAAATGTCAAATGATTCTAAATTGTATCACCTCATGATAAATGCATTATTTCGACTATTTCTATTGAACAGTAGAGTGTTTGCTGTTATGTTAAATTAACCTAACACTTCAGATTGACTATATTAAAAATACAGATTCCCTACAAGGAACTCAATGCAACAAAAGTCAGTACATTCATTAGTGATATTCATATAATTCATGTGCCCCCCTTGTTTCAAGAAAGACTCAGTACTCTTCTGCATTGAGGATGCCAAATGTCTGGAAAAGGGCATTACCATTCTTCAGAAACAATCTTTTTCATGTGCTTTTTGCAAAGAGGTGGTGATTCTGTAACCGCATTCATCCAAATAGCCTGACTGGAAACTCACTTTTGTTTATATGGGGACAGATTTTTCAACTTGTGTGTCTTGTTAACGTAGAAAGAAGCAGTTATCGAGAGATGATACAATTTTGAATTATAAAATAAACAAGCCGACTGTTTGTGTAACTAGTCGAATCAGTGATGGATAACAGTTTTCACATTAAACTCATTTATTTCATGATATTGTGCCACTGGACTGATTTATTTAAGACTGGATTTTGTGCACTGTTACAGAGATGCCCTCCCTCATTTGTGTCAGACCTGTTTTCTGACCTCAGAGATGGGGCACAGCTGCTTGACCTGCTGGAGGTGATGAGTGGTCAGTCGATGGTGAGTTAACGTCTTTGACATCAGTGCGCTGAGCAGATTCCTAATTCTTCTCAGAGATCTATAATTATTCCGTAGACAAGCAGTAGGGGTGTTAAAAGCCAAAACAGAACATCAACATGCTAAAATGAATGCTGTCAGCGCTGTATAGCTGATTTTACAACTGTCTTCGTAGAAAAGACAAAGGGGCCGTGGGGTTTTCCAGCAGAGGGCCAACATTGAGACAGCACTGAACTTTCTCAAGAAAAAATCTGTAAGTTTACACACCAGAGAACACTGCAATATAACACCTGGAGTGTGTTTGACACTTTTGTCATGGCTGTTTGGTGCAGATTAAACTGGTGAACATCAACATCCCAGATATCATAGATGGGCGCCCATCCATCATCCTCGGCCTCATATGGACCATCATTCTCCACTGTCACGTGAGTACCAGTGTAGCAACTGTAAAACACTAATTAGTGCCTGACCTACTGTTGCTACTGCTAAATGCACTGATTATAAGTTTTGGTCAGATTTCACAGTTGAGGAAATGTATGAGGGTACTGATAATGTGATATATAGTAAGTGATTTATCTATGTCTTTCTGTCTGTTTCAGATTGAGGAGCTGGCCAATGCTCTCTCCTTCAGCTCTCGTCATTCCTCCCTGGACTCTCTGTCCAGCCTGGACTCCTGGTCTGGCAGCCCCGTCCCAGCTAGTCCGGTCCCTGCAGGCCGGACGTCGCCTCTCCACAGACGCTTCCGCATATCTGCCAAGAAGGCCCTGCTCATGTGGGTCAGGGACCAGTGCCAAAAGTAGGGTATTTATGTTCATATATTTTAATGTTTTTAACAACAGATTGTTTAGACTCAAGAGCCTTGTTTGTGGATGTTGTATCATTTCCCTGCGATTTACATTTAAGTGCTCCATAGTTTACTTTCTGAATATCTGTGTACAAGAAAGCAGCAATTACTAAAGTTTTGTGTCTTTTTTATGCGTTATAGTGATGATCATGATGAAGTTTTTTGTTGTTGTTATTGTTGCGTCTGTCTGTCTCTTTCCAGAGTTCATTGTTCTGTCAGTGTGAGGGACTTCAAGTCAAGCTGGAGAAGTGGAGAGGCCTTCCTGGCCATCCTGTGTTCTCTCAGACCACAGCTAGTCGACCTCTCATTGGTTCCGTCGAGAAGCAACCAGGAGAACCTGGAAGAAGCGTTTCACGTGGCTGAGCGGGAGCTCCACATCCCCCGCCTGCTGGAGCCCCAGGGTGAGGCTGATGATCTCTTGCAGGGTGTTTCGATAAAATGTTATATTTCTGCGTTACTGCATGAATCATCTTTAAAAATAATCACTTTTGAATCCTAAACTTTGATTCTCTAGTTGACTTAAATGCTACATATAGTGTAGAAAAAATTAACAGTTCAGATATAATGACTTTTAAATTTGCACTTAACAATAAATTTCAGTTTGTACTCACACATTACATTCTTGAGCAATAACATCACTTTTACTTAGTGGTGTTTAAGACAACTGAGAGTAAGCCCTGCCACGCTGAACAATAATTTGAACAATCATTTTCTTCTTTCATCTTAGATGTCGATGTCAAAGACCCGGAGGAAAAGTCCATTATGACTTATGTGGCCCAGTTTCTACAGTACTCCAATGACATGCCAGCACCTGATGATCACCTGCAGGTAAGTAATCCAACAATTCTTCATTTCAATTCACAGTCACTTCATAAGAGACTTAGTTCCTGCCGAACTCACTGCAGTGCTTTCAGTGAGATGTTTTCCACCAGGAATCCAGTAAAATAAATGCATGACTGAGTACGTTGTACCAGAAAGCAGTCTGCTTTTTTGATTTCCAACAATTACATAGTGATTTTGAGGTACAAATCATTAAGGTTTATACTCCTGTCATCTTCATGTAGACGCTTTAAATCTGTGAACAACACCAACAAACCAACTAGCCTTTTGTTTTTACTGCAGTACATTTCTACCCCAGTAAATCTACAGTACAATTGAACTTACTTGCTGTATAATTACTGTTTCAGTTGGGTTATTAATGCTCTTTTAGTCCCTGCTGTCTCCCTGTTTGATCTTCCACAACCTCCTGCATGTCAACCATCTTCCCTCCATATTCTTCCCCCTGTCTCCAACTCCGTTTTTCCCACTCTGGTGTGGTGGTGGTGGTGTAGCTGTTTCCTCTGGTCCAGACCTCCTTTCTCTCACCTGTGAATCTGCCTGCTCACATCACTCCAGCAATTGCTATGTCACCGCTGCGTCAGGTACACACCGAATAACGTCGGTCTTCAGTTTATCTTTCTGTCGTTTGGTGTTTTTAATTAACTCTCTGAGCTCCAAACTGCTTTTGGGCATATGACTAGATATAGAGAGAGCTCCAAAATATTTTCTTTGCACTATGATACAGTTATAATGCTAATCAGTCATTAAAAGAAAACAATAAAGATGATTTTTTTTTTTTTTATCAGTATTTGTTTAACAAAAAAACTTAAATTCAAAACATCTACCTGTCTCTAGCCCGATCCTCTCTGTTTAATGTGAATACTGACTGCAGTTTACCCCAAAAAAAGAGTTTTTGTTACGTAAACCATGGCTGGATGAGTCATGACTTCTCTGCTGCAGTAAGAAGTGTAGAATTTTTAGTTTTTTACAGGATCTGGCACAAACAGTTAATATTTGGTGAATTTTTGAACGTGACATGTGGAACAAAGTCATTTTAATGAAATATCACAATTCAGAGCACATCACACGTAAAGTAAAGGACAATCAAAAGATTGGAAATCAGACTTTTTTTTGTGTTACAGTTTCTTGCTCTGATATATGGTGTCAGTTTGATGATTTCTTTTAGAAGAAAATATGTCTTCTTTCTAATCCTAGAATTGATTGTATTTTTGGGGGGAACTGCATACCACACACAATATGTTCAAGGACCATCTGTAGTTGAGAATCTGGTGTGTCTTTCTGTTTTTACAGATTCTGGCTCTGATTAATGATGTAAAAACAAAAAAATCAACAAAAAAAAAACATGCTTTTCAACTCTGCTGGCAGGTTTTGGGGTTGAGAGTGTTAATGGTGCACATTTCTATAGTCAAACAGTGTAGTTGCATTGAACTAATGATTCTGACACATATAAAACTTGTGTACCACGATTATTCGTAAGACACTTGAGGATACCTGTTAGGTCTATCTGATTATGACACACACAACTTAAACCCTCCTGTTATGTTGAGGGTCAGACTGACAAACAAAAAAAAACAATAATTGTTTTAAGTATTTTTTTTGTATGAAACTTCTTCTGCTTGGTTTAATGACACACACACACACACACACACACACACACACACACACACACACACACACACACGCACGCCCTTACACCCTCTCTCTATTCTCTTAACCTCATCTTTAAAGTGGGAGGATGCAGCACGTGTTGTTATGACGTTTGATGGGAATCTTTTCTGTTTATGTGGGCAAACTCCACCCACATTGAGTGGACACTCAGCAGGGGACGGGCAAAACATATAAAGATTCCCTGCAAAGTCCTACCAACCTACACTCTGCAGCTGCTATACTCTATGTCAGAGCTTTACCAAATGAGCAGCAGAAGTAAACAGATAACAGCCCTGGAGGCTCTGGAACTCATCTTTGATCATGACAGTGAAACATTGGAGGATGTATCTGAAGATGACGACCGTCTTGAGGTCAATTCTGAAGTCTGAGGATTCTGATTATGAACCAAATGAAGAAACTGCTACTCATTATCCTTCAAACAAGACATTCACATCAAAAAAATGGTACAATACAGTGGTCTTCATCCCCAAATATACTTCACGCAAAGCTGTCTGCAGAAAACATAATAAAGACAGTGCCAGGGCCCACTAGGATGGCAGTGACTCGTGGGACAGACATCAAGTCAGCTGTTGAGCTGGTCATATCCAACTCAGTACAGAAAATCTTTCTTGAAATGTGTTTTGGGGGAGAAATGGAAGGAGCTGGATGAAATGCTTATTCTTTGGGGGTCCTCACCCTGGCTGCCTGGGGTCTACAAGTCAAAGGATGAATCAACAGCCAGTCTGTGGGATGCAGAGACAGACAGGGTTATATTTCGTGCCACAATGTCCCTGGAGACGTTTAATCCTCATGACTCATTTGTCTTGATTTTAAGTCAGTGGGTCAAGTTGACCTTGAGCAGAAGAGGTGTCTTGTGTTGATTTATCAGCATCACTTCATGAAACTAAAAAAATTCAAAATGTAAAGTAATATTTAAAAAAAAAATCAATGTCATGTAAAACTATGGTATTTTATGTGTCGGTCTTTCTGATGTACATTTTAAAAAAGCGTTAATGTGCATTTTCTATGAAAAACAAATGAATTATCCTCGTTGAACAATGATTGAACCACGATCTGTGACAGGTAAAGAACGTCATTGCACTAAATATTGATTGAAATAGTGAGTAATGGAGTTAATAATGATATTATAAACAATGTTTATTGGGATTTTTTGGTTTCTGACACTTTTAGATAATCAAACATGCCCCGGGTCAAACTGACCCAGGAGCATTATTGCTGTTCCTGAGCCACGAACATAACAGGAGGGTTAATGTGCAGCTCCCACACTGCTATTCACCCCACATTCTGTAATTACTGATAACATTGTTTGTGAAAGTTTAGGTTTCGCCAAGTGAGCGAGCACAAGAGGTGACTGGTTGGCTGCAGGAGGCCTATCAGGAACTGTCAGAAGCCTGGACAGCTGCAGAGGAATCCAGCTACGCAGAAAAATATCAAGTAAGGCTAACAACAGGATAAAGAAAACATTCATTCACATCAGTTTGTATACTTTGTGTGAGAAGTTGTTTCTGTGTTTGGTCCACCAGGTGTTTCAGAGCCTCGCTGCCTCTTTCACTGAGCAAAGGAGACCAGTGATGACGCTCTTTGCTGCCATAAAACGCTGCCCTGAGCTGAACCAGCAGCAGCACACACTCAAGACCGCATGGGACCGTCTGGAGGAAGAGGTCAGGAGATGCACACGAGAAGCAGCAGGGCCACACTCAGGGTTTTAGTTACTCTTGCCTTACTGCCTTATTGCATTATGGCCTGAGTTTGTTTTACTTTTACATTTTCTTGGTGCATTTCTAACATTGTAATTTATCATTATGCAATTTTCTTTTTCATATGGAAAATGGCTCCTACCATGCTGTTAATGTGTGTGTCATTCTTCAGCTCCAGAGGTGTAAAACAGACCTAGATGTGAGTCTTCCTCCTCCTCTGGACTCAGCTGTTGTGTGGCTGCAGCGTGCAGAGGCAGAGCTGAGAGAAAAGGAAGGGAGAGTGAAGGACCACGCAGACGCAGCTAAAGAAGCAAGAGCTCAACAAGACACCTTGAAGGTTAGCTTTTTTTTAAAACTAGATAACACAAAATCAGAAGTGGACAAGCGCTGTGAAACCCTGAAACGGCTCTGAAACAACATCGAAGCATTAAAACCACCTCCACGAGATTTGAACCAGTGACGTGCGGTCAGGGGAAAGAAAAATATATAATGATTAAATAATTTAAATGGTTATATTTATTCAGTGATTTGTACTATAAAGTATTTATTTTTTCATTTAGCCTCCTCAGCTTTGACGATTTTTAAATTCAGAATCGCAAACTTTTCGCAATTTCCCGTTCAAATGCTTGGAAGAGAAGCTGGTGAGGCAGCGGCGAGCTGAGCCTCACTTGGATTGCGCAATCCCTCACTGCGCAGGCTGCCATGCGCAGGTTGTCACTGCACGGCAGCCTGCGCAGTGAGGCATTGCGCAATCCAAGTGAGGCAGCAGCGAGCTCAGCCTGTATATAATATTGTACAGTGTTTTTTTTGTTACCAACTGTATGTGTGTAACGTGTCACGTGTGCTAAGCTATCATAACCGCCCGAGAAGAGCTTCTAGGTGAGGCAGGCAGTTCTCTTGCCTCATGGCAGGGGGCGATCTGATCCCAGACATGCTTCTTGTGACTCCGTGCCTGCAGAGTAAGTGACGGCAAAGTAGACTAGGTATGGCAGGGGTGTCCAATCCTGGTCCTCGAGGGCCACAATCCTGCATGTTTTAGATGTGTCCCTCTTCCAACACACCTGATTCAAATGATCAGCTCATCATCAAGCTCTGCAGAAGCCTGAGAACGACCCTGATCATTTGAATCAGGTGTGTTGGAAGAGAGAAACATCTAAAACATGCAGGATTGTGGCCCTCGTGGACCAGGATTGGACACCCCTGAGGTACGGGATACAGGTAGCAAGTCAAGTGCAGCGAAGGAGGATAAAGAGACTTTTACAAAAAAGTAACGGATATGTTTGTCCAGAAGGAGCAGAGCATGGACTTCATTTAAAGGTAAAGGTAAGACTGCAATAACAAACAAAGAAAAAGAAACATGTGTTTTTTGGGCTGCAACTTATATAAAGAATGCAGATATGAAACATAACCTGTAAACTGCTGCCAATCAAATGGCAAACATGCTGCTGTGTAGAGTGCATATATTTGTAAATCAGATTGTGATGAAGTCAGTGCCTCACCAGCCATGAACCTCACCGCACGGCACTGATTTGAACAAACCAATATGTTCTAGACTTGCTACATTACACCTGCCAGTCAAACTTAGTGTCACCAGTTTTTATGCTTATGATCTTGTTTGCTCTTCTTTCAGACTTTAAATAAGGACATGAACCATTACGTTAATATCCTTGAAACTTACCACAATATGGATGACTCAGGGAATGTAATCGTGCCACCTGAAAAGTTTGATGAAATAAAGAAACGGTATGTGACATAATTGTTCAACTCCTGTGATTATTTCATTTTTTAAAGGTTAGCATTACCATGGACACATTTTACCATAAATTTTGAATTACTGTGTTTTAAAAGTAGAAAACAGTATAATGAAATAATGCACTAATGCCTTCTTTATTTGAAAACAGTTTAACCAACATCCGAGTGACAGCCAAATATCAAGGGATCAAATTGGAGTACCAGGAATCCCGTCACACTGTGCTGGACCTGCTGAGACACATCAGTGCTAAGGTCCAGTCCTGGAAGGCTCCCTACAGGTCTCAGGAGACCATACATGTTCTTCTGCAGGACTGGCATGTGAGTGCATATCTGAAAGAGCAAGATGAATAAACACAAACCAATGTTAATTTGAAAAATAGAAGTTATCTGCTTGGCCTTTGTTGTGAAAATGTTACAGTTTGCTGGGTAAGTCATCTTGTAACTTATTCTTCTTGGAAAACCAAAAAAAAAGTGATTCTCTTTGTTGATTGGTTGTCTAGGAAACAGTTGAACGTCAAGGTCTGCTTTTGATTCTGTCGGATGCTGTCCAAAACCTGAAGGAGAGGGCAGATGGTTATACCAGCAAGGCAGCACTAGGTAGGATCTAAACATTTTCATTTAGAACTCTTTAAAAACTGAATCTGATTTGTCCTGTAGATATTGAGTTTTCGTTTTTTTAACTTTCACTTACCGTTTACTCACCAGGTGAAGGTTCCCAGCTTGTTACTCGTCAGGTGAAGGAAGCAGAGAGTGAGGCTGACTTGGTCAAACAGGCCGTGACGGCTGCCAGAGGGACGATGGACAGAGTGGCGTCTGCGTGGGAGACGTACAACAAGTGCCTGGCTGCTCTACAGGCATGGCTGGCACAGAACGCGCATTTGCAAGCCGAGTCTTCTGCTGTGGCAACACAGGTAGCATCCACCCGATAGTCCTGAATGTTGTCAATGAATAACTCAGAAAGATTCCTTTATGAAAATCATCAATCTATGTTTATTGTAAAAGTTATTCCATTGACGTATATAATCACAAACTGCGGCACCATGTTCTTTTTCTTCTGTTTTGGATGCTATAGGATATGGCTGAGTGGACTTCATGTCAGGCCCAGTTAAATGAGGCTGGAAACATTCTCATTGAAGTGACAGAAACTTCAACCAGCCTCACGCTGGCCGAGCAACTCAGCAAGGTCAACATGCAGTGGGCTGAGTGCATGAAGAAGACGATGTTTGTAAGTGGTTTTCAACTATTACCCTTCTGAACTCCAAGCAGTTTATGGACGTGTTTTTGCTCGTGACACGTTTTTCAGTAATGATAGAACAAAAGGTAAATTGCTTTTATTATTCATTTAGCAAAAATGGTAAAAAAAAAAAAAAATGAAATTAACTTCTCAGTAGGGCTAAGGAGGACAGAGTTATTTTGTTTTTAGAGAATCTGGTTCAAATGGTTTATTTTTAAATGAGACACATAGAAGTAGTGCTTTTGATGAAATATAAAAATGTTAAGTTCTCAGACATGATGACATGTCACAGATGAGTAGTTCAAGAACCACTGAACAGTTGAAAATGATTTTAGTTTTTCTGGCTCTGAGAAATTGTTACATTTAGTGCTGTTTTGTCTTTTTTTTTTTTTTTTTAAACAAAAAGATGACTTGACTCACCAGCGAGTTTATTTTCTTTCAAGCATGATAGGAAAGGTAATTTACCAAAGACTTAGAGATTAAGGGACACACATACATAAATGAGTATTGCCTATCATAAAGAATTTCTTTCTTAGGAAGTGTCATCAGAGCCCAGTGCTGGTGCCTCGTGTCTTCAGATGGTGCATTCACTGACCCAGGAAGCCTGCTGTCTCTTGAGACAGCCGCTGGAGGTGGCCTCAGTCCCACTGAAGGCCAACAGAGAGAAACTACAGGTTAGTGAAATTTCAAATGGCTGAACAGGTAGAAGGAAACCAGCAGCAAAAAGTACATTTATTTATTTATTTTTAAATGTTTGTGTGTCTGGGCTAAGCTCTTTTTACTTTTTTCTCTCTTTTAGTTACTTAACAAAAAGATGGTAGGAGTGGACGTGTCACCTCTCAGCACTTCCCAAGACTTTCAAACAAGCCACATAGAAAAACTCCAGCAGACTCTCCCACAGGTACTCACTGTGATGCAGATGACTCACTTTGTCTTTTCTGTTTCGACTAAACCTACTCCCGGCTAAATCAGTGCACAGGTGAATGTGTGTAAATCCAGTGTAGCCCAGTTATTCTCCTGTGTTAATTATATTGTTATGTTAATTGTAATATGGCAAACAAAGGACAGAGTTTGGTTAAATTGCTTGTATCTGCATGACAGATGCTTGCTGAAGCAGAGAGGACCTGTGGGGAGCTGCAGAGGGCTGCCTCCAAACTGGAAGGCCGTCTGGCTGAGCTGGATCACTGGAGCACAGATGCGCTGGACTGTTACAGCCACCTAAAGGAGAAAATGCACAGAAGACACTCAGCATTTGACTCTACAACAAAAGTCAGCAAACCAAAACTTTGTGCTTCTTCTAATTAGGCCTTTTGTTCGACAGATACAAAGAATAACTGGACCCTATAAAGTAGTAGAACTATGGTAATGTTTGATTTGGGTCCTTATAAATAAAGATTTGGCATTCAGTCCAGAATAACCAATGCAAACCATGCCACTTTCTAGGTGCTGATTTCTCGAGGCTTGCAGCTAGTGAACCAGGTTGTGACTGAGGGCCGGGATCTGCAGGACTTTGTGGCGGGACTGCAGAAAACCTCTCCTCTACAGCGCCTCAGTACCTCTCGCATGCAGCACAGGATCTCAGAAGCAGTCTCCCACTGCGAGGTGAGTTAAATTGGTTTATGCTAACTCTTTCCAGTCCGTTAACAGTTGGTCATAATCATGGTATTTGTGTATTTTTTTTTCTTCATTTTTCTAGGAGATTCTTGGAATGTTTAGTCCCTTTGGGTTTAATCCACAAGTTGGTGAAGTTCCTAAGAGTCAGTCACCTGCTGAAACAGTCTGTCAGACACCAAAACAGCCAGAGACCGGGTTACTGGTTGTGGCCAGAACCAAACAATTTGACCAGACTGGAAATGTAGTGCTGCAACCTCAGGACCCAAATCAACTTTCAGCTCAGATTCCATCTCACATGCCCCAGCAAAGGACAAGAGGTCTAGAGGGCTGGTCTAAGATCATGAGCACACAACATGAAAAAGACATTGCTACACCCCATGTAGTAATCCAAATGATGCCTCAGCCTTTGAAGGAGTCAGCACCTCATTCATTCATTCACTCTCATCTCGCTCAGGCTGCAGAACAAGCCGAATCTGAGCTTTTGATCCAGCCACAGTCATTTTCTAATTCCCATGCTCAAGCTCCAAGTTTCAGTGAAAATGAGCAGCTTCTGCCTGCTATTAACCAAACGCCTGTTGGACCTAAATGCCAAGTGAGTTTAGTTTTGGCTAAACATGCAGCACGCTCAGTCGCAGAGGAAAAGGGAAGCTCGTCGCCCTCACAACTTCACAGCAGCAAGCACAAATCCAGAACAACTGGGCAACCGAACACTTCACAGAGTAGTAAGCCTCCACAGCCGCCGGTTATGGAACGCAGTGAAGTTCACTCAAAAGCCCAGTCAATGGCGAGGAGCAGGCTGGAGAAGGCCAGATCCCGTCTGCAGGGACGCATCCAGCAAGTGGTCAAGTTATTTGGTGGCAAAGAGTTTTCAGAATCACAAGCCAAGAAGAAACAGGTACAGTTTCAATCATTAAAGGACAGAATAAGAAAGGTGTCACTAATCCTTGCAGATGTTTTACTCTCAGAACATTTCAAAGCAGTTTAACATGTTGCTTATAAAATGCTTAAAACAGAAGCTTGATCATGTTTAACCCTCTGAACCCCAAAACCTGCTGGTGAGATTGAAAGGTGCTTTTTTCTTTTTCTTTTTTTAAAATTGTCAACAATACCAGAAAGAATGAATGGATATTGAATTTTCCAGCAGTCTTTCAAGTAATCATCCATGATGTTCTGTTAAGTCAGAGAACTTGCCTGATTTATCAGAGCCAGAAACAAAAACAAATCAAATAGCTGTATTTTGAACTTCCTGATGGTGCTTACTCATCTACGATTTGCTGTTCTTTTGGTCAACTAAACTAAACTTAAGCTTAAAATCCTTAAATTTTCAAAAATAATCAAAATATTCTACTTCAAACAAAAAAAAAAATCTCTTTTTAAATGTCACACTGCACAGAGTCCATTTTTGAGTTCTCTCTACTTCTAATCAGCAGTGGTTGTGCTGTTTCCATAGACATGCAGAACTTTAAGTAGCTGTAAAAAAGAACGAGCCTAAAGTGAGCTAAAATGTGACAGGATAAAACCAGCACATAAAGCTGTTGGGGTTAAGAGGGTTACAACTTTGCATTTCATGCTGAAACATCCAGACCTTAAAACTTACCTGAACTATATGAAAAGAATTGGACACGTTCATTGGAGGTCTGTGGTGTTTCGCTTTGTGTTGCTATCAGTTTTGTTTTATGCATGTTTGTCCAGCTGTATGTCTTTCTGTGCAGAAAGCTTTAAAAATGCTGCAGCCTGCCATACTCCAAGAGTTCCTGGGTGCGGTGGAAGGTTTTGGGGCCTTCTGCTCTGGGTCCCAGCTCCAGGACTTGATGCATCTCTCTGACTCAGTCAGAGAGCAGTGGGAGGTATGACAGGAACTAGACACAGAGTGTATTCAGGACAAATCAGTTGATCAGCAATGTTTAAGCTACAGTTTTTTTTTTGTTTTTTTGTTTTTTTACTGAGTTTTGATGTAAAGGTTTTAACCAAGCACCAAAGGAGTTTAATGACACCACTAAAAAGTCGTTGTTTTGCTGTTTTACCATCAATTTAAATCCAATATCAATACCTAAAACCTAAAAGAAATTACATTTTTTAGATGTACTTCCTGTTGAACCTTTATTTTCCTGCATTAATGAGGTGATAAACATTCTTTTGCATCATTTTTGTCGCCATAATCATAAAGCAAAGAATATTTTTATGTCGTGGAAGTATTGGGTGAAATACTCTCCAGGTTGTATTTTACTTATTTACTTTACAATTTCTGAGAAGATATGTCATTTTTTGTGTCATAATAAATCCAGTTTTTAACAAAACTTTAAACCACCACAATTTGACATAAATAACTTATTTCTCACAAGCTTCCCCTATATATTTCCCCAAAGTAAGTCTCTGCTTGTTTGTTTGTGCTACACTCAGGATGTACGCAGAGAAATGGCTGCCTTTGTTCCCATCCTGTGGTCTAAGATCAGAGAAGGGAAGCAGCCATGTTCAGTTGTGCAATGTGGCATGCATACTAACTCCCTCTGTGAAGCTACTCACCAGACTGACCATGATTGTTTGCAGCACCAGGTATCTGCATAACTGTAACATGACATTAACATTAACATGTGAGTGTGCTGTGTGGGAGCTGTGTGGTAGAAGATCTAAGATATTTGTTTTTCAGTCTCTCAGAAATTCATCTTCTCTTCCTCGCAGGCTGTCACTGAGGGAGATGCATCTGTTGAGGAGCGTGTTGAATCACTTAGAGAGCTGTGTGAAACACTGACACCAAGGAAATCTTCCAGCCTCGCAACAGACCAGCTGACAGAGTCAGATGAAGTGCAGGAAACACAACCCAGTGACACGGCACTCCCAGCTGACGGGTAAGACAATATTAAGAAGGAAACAAAGACCTGCGTTCCTTATATGTGTTGAAAGTGTAAAGTGAAGTCTGTGCGTGCCATTCTTTCAGTTTTGAAAGTTTTTTTTTCTCTGATTTGTGTTTATTAGTGAATCTTAGAGTTTTTATGGGAAATTTACTTTTTTTAAATTGACTTAAATTTTTTAAATTTAATTAATTTTTTTTTGCAGCAACTAGAGGTATTCGTGTATTTTCCAAATTATTCTTTATGGGAGAAGTGGTATTATTTTAACAGATGTCATGTACTGATATAACACTGTCTAAATATAAGCTCTTATTTTCACCCAACAAGGTCTTGGCATTATGGATGTTCTTGAACGGACCCTCCCGCTAAGGGCTGACTTTGTTTTATAGAAACTCTTTACCCTATCTCTCTCCACAAACAGATTTCTACATGCTCAATTTATTTGAAAAAAATGGTTTAACAAAGCAAGTTCTAATTATTTTTCTGGCATGCTAAGGTTATTTGTTTGCACATCTAAAGTTTCTTTCTGAACCCCAAAGCCCACAGATGGGTCTGAATGGTATGTCATCTTTTAACTTTTTTTTTTTTTTAGAATGACACCATTTATCAGCGCAACAGAAAGAACTGTTGAATTTCCAACTTTCTGAAGGACTGTGCTGCATGTAAAATACCAAGCAAATACTAAGCAAATGTAAGCTTGAAATTGTCATCAAAATACCTTTATTCTACATTCCCTGTGTAACGCTTTGTCAACAATAAGCCATGTGTACCAGATCCTGTAAAAAACCTTTAAATTCTCTGCTCATCAGCATAAATGGAAAGCTATGACTGATCAGCTGAGACCAACAACCACATGATAGAAATAAGAGACTTTTCAGCCAAACTGCAGACTGTATTTACACAGACTGACACGAGAGGGAAATAAAACATACTTGACGAATAAAATAAGTGCAGCATGGCTTAAAAACAGCATGCAGAGGAGTAAGTTGTCAACAAGTTGTTGGAAGATACGTTTAGCATGATGAAATGTCTTTGAAGGGACTGTCTTTTGAAGTGCAGAGTAGTGTGAAAAACAACCAAAAAAACTGTTGATAGTTAAATATCCATAATAATATCCATAGCATGCAGAGCCACCTTTTTGTTCAGGACTGGTCACACATGAGGGCATTTGGAAAAAAATATCGGAAAATTTGATTCCAGGTTTGTCCAACTTTTGTGAAACACATTATCAAAGAACTTTAACTTTTTTTATTTATTATTATTTTTAATGATATATGGCATTATAACTGCACAAAACTCTACTTCTAGACATTATTGAGCTGTTTCCATAGCAAAAAACACCCAGAAGCTGCTCGGAGGTTAGAAGGTTTAGAGTTATCCTTAAGACAATTTTCAATTAATGGAGTTGTAAATTAAATGTTACGCCAGTGACATCATTGAGTTGAAGCAGACAGCTTATTGTTTATTAATCATTGTCACTCAGCGATCCTTTCAGCCTATTAATCTTAATTAGATTCCTGTCGGGCCGAGTTGTTCTAACCGACTGCCCCTGACTTCCTCCTGATAAACATTTCTTATCTCAGCAGGGGACAGCAGCTCGGGGGAAACACCCCGCTGAGACCGACTGACATGTGGGCCGACACACAGGCGAGCAACAGTCTCCCACAGAAACAAAGCGTGGACGGCCCACAGCGAGGCCTGGTTACTGCTGTGTCAGAGCAGCTTCACGGCGGCGGTGAGATCCTCCGACCGCAAGTTCAGGACGTCCCAACAGAGACCCAGCACCACCTTACTCAAAGTAGAGGCTGTGCAGCAGCAAAGCAAAATCAAAAGCCTTCGCTCAAAGCTAAAGAGCAGCTGCTGAAAGCTCGTCTACTGCACATCACAGAGAGCAGCCAACAAACCCAACCTCATATACAGGTATGGAGAGATCTTTCTAGACTTTTCCTTCAGTGTCTTGGCTCTACTTTGTATTTCTGTATTTTGTAAGCTCCAAGTTTTAGGCACAAACAATTCCTTGCATATTTGAAGAAGCAAACACATTCTTCTATAAAGATCCCTTAATATGAAGTCAAAGTAGCTTCAGTAGTTTCATAGTGTGGTTTGACTGAAGGTGGTTTAAATGACTGTTGGAGTAGTAAGATACTTGATTGTATTTCATACAGCAATTAAAAATGTTCTGTGTATTAAACAAAAGTGTCTGTACTCAACAGTAGAGTCTAGTCTAGCAGCATGCTACATCTCTTCTCTGCATCCAAACTACAAGACACATGACAAATATTCTTAACTTAAAGTCTTGGATGCAGCCTGCTTATTTTAAATTCATCTACGCTTCTGGATAGTTTGCCTTCTTCAGCATCAGCAGTCTGAGAGACGGCAAAAAAATCATGTGCGTAGGTTCCTTTCTTTATGAGTACTTGTGAACCAGAATCTCACTAAAGTAAATGTGTGTTAGTCTTGAAATTGTGTTTGTGTAACTTTTATTTTATGACATGAGACAGGATTTGGCTGGTTTTACCATCCTGGTGAAATGATAACACAAACCCAGTCCTATGGTATACCTTGTGGTGGGAAGGTTGCATGTCCCAAACAAATCTTATTTACTTTCTACATTGCATTTAAAGCAGCCTTCCTGATCAGAAACAAACTCAGCAGTTTTCCTGGCTGTGCCTGACCTGTGCAAGCCACAGCACCAGCTGTAGGGCGCTAATCCTAAGTAATTGGATAGGCTCACCACTCTGTCTTTCCCGCTTTTCTTTACTGGACTGGACTATGCAACTCTCCCATCTCTCAGGCACTCGTCAGAAGCAACACAGTGGAGAAAAAACAGAAAGCAGAGTGGACTGTCCTCCCAGAGACGCTCCCACCACAGCAAGAGCAGCCCTCTGAACAGGGATTACTGGAGAGGTATGGATGATTAGCTCAGTTCAACTTTTCTTCACATTTCTTTTAAATGAGAACTGACAGTATGAATGATATAAATATGCTGATAAGAGTAACTAAATGTCACACATTCTGCATCATGTTTTGTTCCCATTCAGCCATTCAGTCTCAGTATATGTTACATTGAAGCAATCTTTGCTCTAGTTACAGAAAGTCCTCCTCAGTGTTTCAGTCCCAACTCCAGAAGAACAAACTACACTTAGAGCGCTTTATCCCAGACGCAGTCACCATCGTTACCCTGCAGAGCCAAAAGAAGCAGCTACAGGCCAGTTGGAGTGCTCGATATCCACCAGAATGTCACATTTTCAAATTCTGCTCTTAATTCTAACCAGACAGTGGTTTTTTAATTGTACTTCTCTGCGTATTGGTCTCCTCAACAGACCTTGAAACAACAGACGGATGCACTTTGGTTTGATGTTGAGCTCCAGTATGCCCAGCTTTCCCAGCTTCCTCAGCTGATGACCAGGGAGAAGGATCAGAGTGAAGTAAAAAGAGAGCAGGAGCTTCTGACTCAGCAGTGGCGGGAACAACAAATGTGTCTCCAGACCAGGTGGATCTACTCTCCTGATACAGATGCAGTATTTTAACATTGAAGCACAAGACATCAGTTGTTTTCAGTATGCTTTTAGTAGACTCAGAGTTCTGATTTCAAATAAGCCCATTTCAAGATATGGGATCTCCAACACTGCTGCTTCATCACCCTGGTAAAGTAACTGCATTCTGTTATCTAGACATAGGTCACTTTCATGGTAATGATCCTCATTGTTTTAATCAGACATACTCACCACAGTGATGGAGAGAGCCATGAAATTTGTCTTATACATGACATTTGACAGTACAGCAAGTGATGCATAATAATGAAATAATAAACCATGGACTAAATCTCAATAGCAGCTTATCAAACTATACAAATAACTAACAGCCTAGTTTATAATGTCCTAAAATCAAAAATGTCTGTCCATATGTGTTGGTTATCTAAGCAGCTAAAAATGTGTTTTCATTGTTATTAAACTACGTGTTGCCATACCTGGGAGTTACTTGATACTTGATTACGAGGCTTAATTCTACATGAAATTATGGGAAACATGAAGCACAGTAATGCTGCTACTACAAGTGTCCTGCTCTAAGACTATGAAACTGGAAGATTTTCTAATTTAAAAAAAAACCCTGACACGGTGAAGTAAAGAACACAGTGAGACCTGCTGTTAGCTCCTGATTGATCCTGCCTCCATGTTGGGTATAATTTATAATTTTAGATGCGTAATTAGGTTACTGCTGTTGCTCTATGTGCCTAAATGAGTGCAGCTCTCATGTGGATCCTTAGAATAAAGATTCCTACAAACAGATTTGTACAAAGTTGAATCTTTATGGATACTTCAGTTGACATCTAAGTGTAGCCCTGTGATAGACTGGTGACCTGTCCAGGGTGTCCCCTGCCTTCGCCCTAAATCAGCTGGGATAGGCTCCAGCCCCCTCTCCCACAACCCTAGTGAGGGTTAAGTGGTGTATAGATAATGGATTGATGGATTTATTTATGTTTTATTTTATTTATATTTTTGAATCTTGCATGTGATTTTGATTCTTTTGATTCCTTGTTTAGATTGTTCCATAAATTGACCCCTTTGACAGAAATGTTCTCATTCAGACATGAAGCTGATACATTCAGATGCTGTCAGATTAAAAGGAAGGAGTGCATGTCTGAAAGGGACTTTAGTTTAATATACAATACAGAGCATTTATAGAAAGGCTGCAATTTTATGTGTGAAGCATCCAGCTGTTGCTAATTTGTAGTCACCATTCTTGTTTAAGATTTTAAATTGAAGTTAAAACCACTTAACAATTACTACAACAGAACATACGGTACTTAACAGGCTATGTGGCTGCGTATATGCATTCGCCATGTACATACTGACATTCAAGTCTTATAGATGGGATTGTTGGTGTTAATGTTATCAAACTCTATCATATGTAGTGCACTATTGTATTACATTACCTTATTGTAAACTCTCCTATTTGTAAAACTACCAAAATTAAGTAAATCAGTGTGCATCAAGACCAAAATTGCTAAGCTCTTCTTCTTCTTCTTCTCTTGTGTTTGGGGCAGAATGTCATCTCTGGAGAACACTGCTGCCTTGATGAAGTCTGTAGGTGATCAAAAGAAACTGATCACAGAAAAACTGAACCAGATCATCAGAATGTCAGTGGACATTTCCTCTTTGACCTTGGCAGATCCTACAATGTTATCTGACTTAAAGGTACCACGTATCTATGTGTTGAAACACGTAGCAGTTATCATATAAAGGCTGAAACAGGCGTACATTAATATTGATGGCCAATGTGTTTTCCAGGAGATAGATGACAGACTGCAGGCTGAAATCAGGAAGCTATCAGAACAAAGCACTGAAGAGGAAAGACAAGGGCCGGAAGCCACATCCCCGTCACCCATCTGCCAGGCGCTCCACAGCAGTGTCCATCATCTCGAGCAGCTCAGACAGCAATTGGAAAGAGTTCAATCAGCTGCCCAGGCTCTGGATCGCTTCCTGGCCACAGTGAGAGAAGTCAAGGCCGAGATCCCAACCCTGCTGGCAAACCAGGACCCGAGCAGGCAGAAAAATGAGGCCGACTGGGAGCAGGAGAGACATTCTTGGCAGGCAGCGCTGCAGAGGTTGCAGGCTGCTACGGAACAGTCTGATAGTGTTGACAGCAGTTTAAACGCAGTGGGGATGACTCTGACCGTGGATGGTGCAAATGTGACATGCCAGGATGTGGTGAAATCTGTGGCCAAGCATGTTGTGGAGATGGAGAAAAAGCTGGTGAGAGCCAGTAAAAAACAAAGAGAGGAAGAACATTTTTTCCTGGAAAAGGTAAAAATATTGGACCATGAGGAGTTGAATCCTGTGCAGATTTGTCACATGAAAACTGGGAATGATTCGCCACAGCAAAGCAGGCCACAGGAGGATTCCACGCCAAGTGGGACAGAAAAGGAGCTAGCACTGGAGCCTAAAAGGAGTAGGTTGACACAAAGAGAGGAAACACAGAAAGCTCAAACCCTGAAACCTGACGGTGGTGTTTTAAGAACCAAGGAACAGAGACCAAGGCGAAGAAGCAGCCAGGTGAAGAAAGAGGCAGAAGAGAAGCAGGATTTGGTCCAGAGGAGAGCTGCCTTGCTCGCAGCACTGAGGGAGACAAAGACTGCAGCTGAGCATCTGGGGCTGCAGGAGCCCAGTCTGCCTGCTCTGCACCAGAGGTACAACACTTAGCTGGGGTCAATGATGCATCTGTATTCAGTGTAGCCAGAGATATTACATAGGAGAGACTCACCACTTTAAAAACCCTCTATAGAAATCTAAGGGATAATTTCATAATTCCAGAGATGGTAGTTGTATCACACAAGTCCATCACCCAAACAGCCAATTATTTCATTGTAACAGTCAAACCAGGACACATCCAGCCAATGTGAAACTGTGCACATGCCTAGTAAAAGTATAACATGCAGGGAGGAAAGCTTTTTAAACTTTATTTGGGATAAAGTCACCAAACTTTTAAAGCATTTATTGTCTGATTTAACTGTTGATTCTACATGTGATCAGTATGGTTTTACATGAATGGGAAACCAGATTGTTGACATTACTAGTTAGTGTATCAGGGCAATAAGACTAAATCTAAAATGGCTTTTAAATATTGTTACAACAGAACATGCAAAATTATAATTCACACATTGAGGGAGATCACTTTTGGTGTCAACCAAACGCAGTACGCATTAGGACATAGAGTAAATGAAAACTAAAACATACCTAACACATATAGCCTCTTAAATCATCAAGTTTTTCTCTTAAGCAAGTGGAAGAAAACTTTTTACACTGAGTATGACAATATGGTAAGAGAAATATCAATTTCATGTTATTAAGAAATCTTGTTTTTCTGTATTTGTACTGCAGAAAACTATGAAAATACCAAAAACAAAACAGCAAAAACTTTAGCAGTATGACTTTTAATAAACATACATACAATATAACTCTAAATACACAATTAAATTGAATGAAAAACTCACTTTATATAAAAGTGTAAAACATTGCCTGTCTGGTATTGTATGTGTGATGGCCTGGGGCAAATAACTGACTCAAATGCAGGGATCAGACAAAACACGAGAGTCCAGAATCCAAGGTTTAATGAACAAAGCCGAGTTCAGACACACACAGGCGGTCAGCAAGGCAACCAGCCCAGAGTAGGCAACAAGGCAAAAATGAGAGACATTTCAAAAATACTAAAGACAGCGATGTATAAAGACCTATAGATATTCAAACAAAAACAGGAATCAGGAACAGACAGCAGTCATGTACAAGAAATTACAAAAATAACACAAAGAATGACTCAAAGCTCGACTATGGACAGTGGGAGAAAATCAGCCAGGACCAGTACATCCTGAGGAGAGTAATTTGCTGACACAGGTGGTGCATAAAACTAGTGGGTAAACTGAACAAAGAGCATATGGAAAACAAAGCCCTACAAAATGTCTGGGTAGATTCTTGGTCAGCTTGTCACGGTGACCCTAAGTGCTTTAGTAGACGGCAGCCGGACTTCTCTCATCATCAGTTCTGACAGGAGGGGAGTCTCAGGTATTTATTCTAACTTCCAAATCACGTTGATCGTGTCCCATTAACAACCCAAGATTCAAATGCCCCAAGGTGTGAATGGTTGTTAAACTGCCTGGGGAGGGATATCTGGACTGCTTTAAAGGTACCTGGTCAGTGATGTCGTAGACCTCTGCATGGAGGTGAATGTTCTTGTTTAACAACTCCTCCTTCAAACCAAGCACTTGGCAGGTACATGGCCAAACAAAGAAGAGCCAGCTCCTCAGGATAAGACTCAGCAATTCACCTGCATCTACAGGAGATGGGAAAGTCCTTAGAAGACAGCAGTGTCCACATTCTGAACAGAGAGAACAGCTGGTTTAAGGGAGGAGTTAAGGAAGCCGTCTATGTTAAGCTGGGACTGCGATCTTTTAACAGAGAAAGGGCTCTATGACATCACTTATCAGGTACTTATAATGCAGTCCTGAGATTCTTCCATAGGCAGTTTCACAGCTTGAGTCATGTGAGACTTGGATTATTAATAGGTCATAAGCCGTGCGATTTGCGGGTGGGAATAAATACCTGGAACTACCCAGTTGTCAGTTAGAACTGAGGAGGCCTCTTGGATCAGAGGTTAAACAAAAAAAATAAGAGATGTTCTGTTGCATTCTACTGAAGCACTTAAGAAAACACTACAAACTATAGCAGCAGAGTCGAAACTGTATGTAAATGTTACCATACAATAACTACTCTTCGCAACTCCTGTTTTTTGAATGAATGTTAGTAGTCTGACTGTGTAATTGTCTGCAGGACCCGTGCCTTGACAGAGTTGGAAAGTCCTCTTGCTGGCCTCCTCTCAGAGATGCAGTACATACGCGATGCATCTTCCCTTTCAGGAACCGCTGATGAGAGTCAAATCACAGAGCTGGATGATCTTTGTGAGGAGACAACAAAAGCCGTAACTGAACGGTAAAGATTTTTACTGCTTCTGTTTTGGATTATTTACTACCATGTGCCTCTGCCTCTCCAGTGTTTCTTCTACTTTGCTGAGTTGGTGTGTGTGTGTTTGTTGTGTTATGGATCATTTACAGGCTGGAGCAGTGTTGTGTCCTAACGGAGCTGCTGAAGAAGTTTCAGAATCTTCGTGGTGAGCTGAGTGGGACGATGCAGAGAGCAGAAAACACCATCAGTAATCAAGCCTCTTACATGGGGAAAGATAACTTGCAGAGACTGCACACCAAGGTACATCACGCTGAATACTGAACACAAAGACATCATATTGATCCTTGTCTATGTTATTGGCTTTGTTTCTTTGTACTTTAGCATTTAATACAGTTTGTACAGTATGATATTGTTTGTGTCTATGCATTGCTTTTAAGGTCCAAGAAATCAAAATAGAGCTGAATGGTCTCGGGGACAGCATAGAGGAGATCCGGAGCATCTGCAGGCAGCTTCACACTCACCTACGTCAGATACCAGACTGCAACTCCGTCCCCTTTGAGAGTGAAGCTGATGCTCTCATGGATCGGTGGCTGGATGTAAGATTAGCAACTTTACTCTCAATTCCCTATCAATGCCATCTCCCTGTCAATGTTTTTTTTTTTTTTTTTTTGCGACATGTTTAGCTTATTTTTAACAACTCAAGGGAATGTCTGGAACATGTACGAACAAATATTAATTTTGAGGTTTTAAAAATGCACGTCATAAAATAAATATTTAGTTAAGTCTGATGTTTAATTCAGTTATTTATTTTTATAATAATATATTTTCTAGCTCAGTTCTTCCCAATTTAAATTTCCTGCACAAATAATGCTTTCCTATGTGAATTATAAATGTTGTAGTTGTCGGAAAGAACAGATGCCCACCTTGAAAACCTCCATCTGGGCTCAGCTCTGTGGGATGGAGTCCTTCAGCTGGGGACAGAAGTGGAGAGCTGGACCGACAACACACTGGCAGTGTTTGCTCAGTGTCCGTCCTTTCAGAATGAGGATGACATCAAGTCATTGAAGGTAAAACCACCTTTCTGTGTATTATTCTCATGTTATTTTATATGAAGTTAAATGGTCTTTAGATTTCCACAGCTGCTTTGCATAATGTTAACCTCCCCTCACGCTGCCTTTAGAGTGAGATTGCCACCCAGGAGGAGAGTATACAGCGTTTCCACAGAAGAGCCACTGAGATTCAGTCACTGCTTCAAAGCACAGAGCCCCCCCTGGAGCTGCAGGTACACCATGTAGTTCTGGTTTAGCTTCATGTTTAGAATGTAGGTGTTCAAGGCTGAAATAAAGCATGAAGACAAACAGATACGTACATATAACTTTTGTTTCATTTTTAGCTCCAGTCTCCAGCAACGTCATCATTTTAATAATTATCTTTTCTACAAAGAGCTTTGTCTTTTTGTAACATAAAAAAGATGATTTGGCTTCTCACAATAATACATTATCACTCATATTGTGATTTTTCAGACTCTTACTTAACACTTTGTTGATCTGTTCACAATCAAAAGTGTAGAATATAGCTTAGAACTGGTTACTTCAACTGATATGATGCCACTATTACACACACACTTGTTAGTTTTTGTTAAAGCTGGATTTCTATTTACATGCTTGTCAGAGACAAATACACTTGATTTTCTTTGTTCTGTCAAGGTGGTGGAGACCCAGGTGAAAAAGAAGATAGATCAGCTGAAGGAGCTTGTTTCTGAAGCTGAGGACGTTTACAGACAGATGGTGACTACTAAGGGCCAAATTACTGGGAGGATGGAGGAGTGTTTGAACTCGCTCCAGAAGATTCAAGACTCCCTCCTCGCTCTTAGTGGTCCGAATGTTGCAACCGTCCTGGCAAAACTTAAGGTGAATGCTTAAATGAAATATATTTATATACACATGAAATAATATTACATAATAGTTTAGACAATGTTTATTGGTCGTGTTTGGTTATATTTTGATGTTTGGTAGGGTAACAAGCAGAAAATGTATTTGCATGTTAAGTAAAGCAGAACCTAGTAATGGGTAATGATGTGCAAAAGGTTGCAAATCAATACTGTTTGGAAAATCTGGACTCCAGGAAACTTGAGACAGTGGGAAGTTGACAAAGCAAGTGTTCATTTCATCAACATGACAATACAGCAAGTGTTCTTCTAATCAAATGTTACTTTGCGCCACACATATACTTAGAATTCTGACCAGGCAGAGTCAGACTTTACTCATGAAAGCAAAACATTTTAAGACAGTGCTGGATTCTTGTATTACCTGATCAAAATGTGTGCCATCAGAATTATTTGATGGATGCTTGACATGAAAAAAATGTTTTTACAGGTCTTTTAAAGGTTGTGACTGTTCCAAAGCTGGAGCACAGAAATTTTACTTTTACATGTAAAAGTCCCAGTAATGACTAGTTTTCCACAACTGCAGAGGTGTGCAACTGGAGCAATGGAGATGGAACAGCTACAGCAAATAGTAATATGGTGGAGCCAGTGGCAGAAGAATTTGGAAAGTGTTCAAGAAAAATGTTCTGATGCTCCAGATAAAAATGAAACTCACCATTCAGAGGAAGGATTTCAGTCTATAAAAGACATATATCATAAGCTTATGTTGACAGTATTTATGGTATTACTCTCACTGCCAGAGGGAGGACACAAATTCAAGAGAGCATTGAAAGCTGAGGTTTTATCAGTGACAGCAAATCCTTGTCCTCTGCAGGAGCTATGTTTGCAGCTCCACGCCCAGGATGAGCAGGCAGAGAGTCTGCAGGAGGACGTACATGTTATGGCCTCCATAGCAGGTCCAGAGAGTCTTCAGAGTCTGTCTGCAAACGGGATTCAGCTTCAAGAGAAAGTCCGAAACACCCATCAGCTCTTCTCTGAAGTGGAAGAACAGACTGAGAAAAATATCCAGGATTTGGACAGGTGACACACACCATGCATACAACTATCACAGTCGTAGTTCAGTTCAACTGATGTGTAATGAGATATACACGTGCAGTCAAATGGCAATTTATGACTCTTCTCAACAGTGTAACATGCAACATGTACACATTCCAATAAGAGCCTAAGAGAGCTGAGCAGGAGTTTGAGCAGCTTGATTAGTTGAAAGTCTTTCAAAGTCTGTCATCAGGGGGTCTGCATAAAGGAACAAATTCAGCTCATCCAGATCAATGTGACTGAACTAGTGGTCGACCAATATGGGTTTTAATAAATACTGATAAGACTCATAATATGTTGTTGTTGGTTTTTTGCATCAGCCAAAATGCAACAATTTAATTACACTAACATAAAAAAATCTAATAGTAATCATGATCATGATCATAATAATAATAATAATAATAATAATAATATTTATTTATTTTGTGCATCGTCTCCTGTTTTCTTAAGTGCATCTGTACTTATTTTAAATTTAAAAATGTATCAACTAAATGAATGTCCACAAGCAATAAAACATCTCATTAAAAACAATTAAGGATAATACTGAATGAAAGAAAAGTAAAATGTTAGTAAAGCATTTGTCAGCAGATTGCAAAATCTCCTGCTCCTGGTCAGGCTAATGTATAGACATCTACACTAAGTGTATTGTATCACTAGTGTCACTGTTTATCCATTTATCTATGTATCTTCACTCATCTAATCATATAACTGTCTCTGTGCAGAGGCTCATTTAGCTAATTTTCTTGGTATTTTTAAACTTAATGCATACTTAATATCTGCTGATGTATCTGCAGACCTGTGTCCTGATTTTTTTTTCAGTTATCTCAAATTACTTCTTAATTGTGTCCAAATGATCGCTTGTCAACAAATGCCATAAAAAGACTAAAACCAAGAAAACACATTTCTGACTTCCCCAAACTGTTGCACTCCACCCTAAGTGTATTCATTGGAAAGTAAATTTGCATTTAGCAAACGTACTTAGACAGGGTTAACGTGCGCACTTGTTGAGGACTGTTTTCAGTTCCACAAATTATTCCACATTAAGGCAGCTGGTATTTACAGCAGCAGAGGGATGTGAGATTGATAAAGTAAACACAGTGGAGGAGCAGGTCACCAAGTGCAACATCGTGGCTCATTGATGTGTTTTTGAGAAATAACTGAGGAATAAAGTAAAAATAAACTTTGGCCTCAATGGAGTATTTCCCAATTCATTGTCAGATTAGTTTTTTTCATGGTGTTTGCTGGAGAATTCTCCCTGAACCTTACCGATCGGTCGTACGTGCTCTTACCCTATATGTAATACTGACAAGCTCTTAGTGCAAACATTCAGAGAGTCATACCATTCAAACTGAGGAGATAAAAAAACAGCAAGACAAGTTCAACTTGTTTTCTGGAGTAGGTCTTGTGTGGCAGAATCTTTTCTCTCTGTAATACCACTTTAATCTACAGCATATTGTGCACACTGTGTCTTCATGTGTCCGCGGTGTGCTTGCGTGTTTTAGGCTGCAGACAGAGACCGATCAACTGGAACAATGGCTTCATGCTGCAGAGGAAAAAGCAGCAAAGAAGGAGGATCTTAGTCTCCTGCAAGAAGAAGCACTTCAACAAAGGTAAACAACAAAGACATGCAATGTGAACGATTGCATACATTGTATTCCTTTTAAATGATTGCAACATAATTTATTTCTATAAATACATTATCTAGACAGGATTCCCGATTGCAAAAATAAAGCTATAGGTACATATACATGAGTTCAGTTAGACTCAGAAGGAGGGAAAGCGGAAGAAAACTTTGTGTTGCATATGATCTAGTTTGTGTATTTTAAATTAGATCATAATATGTTGAACAGCAGATCTAAAATTAAGTAAAGCAAGTTTCAACAGCGTGCAGTTTTCCAGTGTCATTATTTTGACTAGCGCTCAGCAAAGAGTGAGGAATGTTGAAGGCTGAATAGCCTGTTGTTCTCTACAGGTGACTGAGTCATGCTTAACTACATGACTGCTGTAGTCACACAAAGTCTGGATCAGTCTAAGTACAGGGTTTTTTTTCCTGGCTCAGAATTCGGGATGTGACTACACACAACAGCAAGCACATGCAAAAGTTAAATTATTTGACAGAAATCTATGCGTTTTCTGGTCATTTCAGTCTATTCGATAAACAAAAATGTTTGTATTGTTTTAGTAAATAAAACTCCAATGAGTAAAACTTGTTTTTATTTTGAATGTATCACTATATATTACATAATTTTGTCGATTTTGTTTTGGGAAGTGCGAAAATGCCTCCATGCAGCAAAGAGTGTGACGTAATGACTCTGCTTTTATTTATCCCACTTGTCATTTAGTACATTTGCAGCAACACTTTAACAGTACATGCACTAGTCATAACAGGCTAATTTTTGTTGTACCATTTCAGTGTGTGGTAACCTTACCATTTTTGTCCTCTTATTAACCTTAGAAAGTGTGATTAATCTCCCTTTCCCTTCCTCTGCTCTGCAGCATGAGGACAGAGCTCTTCAGTCAGCTTGTTTCATCTTTACAAAGCAGCAACCTTCATCAGTTGGTGCTGCTGGGAGAGAGTGGAAAGCTGATGGAACGATACCACAACTTCCACACTAACATACTAGGTGGCTCAAAGGAGACGCAGTGCTCTCTGAGCAGGGACATCGAGGCATTTCAGGCTTTGGCCAAGTCCACACAGTCATGGGTGGAGGATTTGGGACGAGCTGATGACTCTCCTCTTGTTAAAAGTCCTGTAGAGCAGAGACTTCACAGCGCTCAGGTAAGAAAACTTCACCGACTCAACAAACCTGAACATGACCGGTTTGACTTGAGACACAGCAGAGGAGTCGCATTTGAAACACATGTCCCGAGTACCTGTTGGGACGTTCTATAACAGAAACATCGTAGTAGTTTAAAGATTTTTTTAATTCTCTTTGTGTGCTTCTGAAAGGGCGTGCCTACAGTAGTGTGTAATGTCATGTGAGGGTGTGGTGCGGGTTCTTTCTTTTTTTGTGTCTACATTTGTTTCTACATGTTCCAAACTGAGGAGTGTTCATTTGCTGTGCAGACCTGACATTATGACGACTGAAAAGTTCAGAGAAGTTTCTGGAATCAACAGCTGTGTTACAAATTTGACATAATTTTCTGTAGAAGCAGAATCCAGGAGAATTTTTTGGGCACTTTTCCTAATTCTGCATGTAGAATAGGTTATGCACCGGTCTGTAAAATCTCTAAAATTCAATTTCAGGTTGTGTTAAATGCGACAACAGAGGGGGAGACTCGCCTGGAGGAGCTCAGAGTTACAGGAGACAGTCTGAGCTGCAGACTGTTGGATGGAGATGACCTGAAACAGGGAATTCAGGAAACCATTCAGGAAACAGAGGAGCAGTGGAAGAACCTCCTGCAGTCAGCTGAGCCTTATTACAGGTGAGTGGAGCCAATGAAGGGCTTTTCTACTTTAAAAATACAATAAAACAATAAAACGATTACATTTGACGAACTCTACATTCTGGGTTTGGAAGTGCTTACAATCTCATGGTGTCTCCTTGTGCTTCAGCGTTCTACAAGCTCATCCTCAGCTCACTTCTGTCCACCTGGCCCGGAGACAGGAGGCTCGCTGCAGAGTGGAGGAGCTGCAGCATCAAACTGATCAGCTTCCCGTTTTATTCCCCTGGCCTGGCTCAGCTGAGCGTACACAAGTCTGCCTTCTTGCCCGCCAGCTGCGGGTGGAATCGGAATCCTTGCAGGTAACAATCACCAGCCTGGCCGAACAGAGGAGGGAGCTGGCTGAGCGAACCGGCAACCCCATCTGGAAAGATTCCTCGTGGGCTGAGCTGGACACTCGCTGGTCAGCACTGATGGCTGAGCTGAAGGTAAAGCTTCACTTTTAATGTTTAACTCATATCCTTGGCTTACAGTGGCTCCCAGTAATTGCAGTGTGTATCCTAGGGGGAACGCCTGAAAGTTGCCAGGGGGTGAATGGAAAATGTATTTGAAATTTGATTTTAAAAAAAGAAATATGATTTGATTTAAGAAAAAAAACAAACAAACATCTGCCCACTTGTCCATATTTCTTTGTTTTGGTTCATCATTCAGATTTTTAAAACCACACATTGTCGTTGAGATTACACTAAGACATCTTAGACAGTTATGTTTGCTGACAGCCACTTTAAAATAATACGGCAGGAGCACATTTGAAGCATGAAGTGCGGCCTGTGAGGGAGTTCTGGTTTGTAGAATCACAATGTATGTGCAGCCCTCTGACTGTGGCTTGGTGTGCCTGATATGTCCACAGGGTGTGAGCTCCCGCCTCGAGGAAGGTGTGAGTAATGAGGAACACTTTGGCCAGTTGCTGCAGGACTGCCATCAGAAATTGACATCCCTGCAGGAAAGGATGTCAGCCTGTCAAGCCGAAAAGGAAAGCTCAGCTGGACTAAACACTGATGCGCCAGCTCTCGAGGTGAGGTCCATTCAGTAAACTGACCTGAAAAATCATGTACAAGCTCTCGTACTGTTTTTGTTTCACATTCTTTTTGCATTAAAACCACAAAAAAATTACATTTAGATGAAGAAAGATGGAGAATTTCCAAACATTACACCACCTATGCTATGATACGATACTTTCTGTTTCTCTCCTTCGCTTTTTTTTCTACTTTTCAGACTTTTCTGCAAGAAGTAGCAGACATTGAAAAAGACATTTTACAACTTGCAACACTCAAGGATTCTATCTCAGTCAGTTCCACGGGGGAGGCCCAAGCAAGGCTGTCTCAGCAAGTCAGCAATCTCCAAAACCACAAGAGGGTGCTAGAGAGTGGCATCAGAGAAACTCTAGGACTGCTTACAGCAAACAGGAATCAAAGAATTCGGCAAGTTAAAGAAGAAACCTCCTGTTTACAGACAGCACTGAAAGACCTGGCTGAAAATGTAGATCATCTCTCTGGGACCCAGGAAGTGTTGTCTGATTTCACCCAGCTGAAACAGCAGTGGTGTGCTATACAGGTAACAATATAAGATGTTTAAAGATGTTTCTTTATCCCTGAAAAAGTGAAGTCTTTAAAGACAGTATTTTCAATCACCTAAGCATTTGTTTCTGTCTCAGGACTTGGACACCACGCTGACAGAGTTGACCTCAAGAGTTGACAAACTGCACAAGACAAGAGAGTCAGGAATGATGCAGGAAACGCTTCCCACAGAGGTCATTTCAACTGTCACTGCAGTTTTTAAGGATCTTGGCAGGTACTTGTCCTCGTTTTAAAACAGAGAACTTGCATTCTCATGACATCCACATGGTTTTATAGTTATTTATACAGTCTACGTAATGATACTTAACAAATATTAGAATGGTTGATCTATCAGGGAAAGTCTGATTTCTGTATATAGACTTTTTGACTTCTCTGAAGACTGTAAGACTTTAGGACTGTCCTTCAGCAGTATTGTATTCTTCAAAATGAAACTAAACATTGAAGGTTATTCCAGTGTCAAAGTTGCAACAAGTAAAGAGGTTGGAGAGAAAGCAATGCTCTCTTTGCAACAGAAAGTGTTAGGATTGATGGGAAATGTGGTTTATACTATAGTATCGATACTATTGCTAGGATGGTTCATTTGAAAAACATGCTACATGTCGCTTTTTAAAAACTGTTTAAAAATTGTGCAAACTCAGCCTCCGCCTGTTTGTTTTCTAACTCTAGCCTCACGTCCATTTTTCGACAAAAGAAGCAGGAATGTGCAGAAAACACTACTAGCAGAGTGACAGAGGTCATCAGCCAGCTGCAACAGTGGAGCCAGAGAGTACAAGCTGATCCATCGTCACCCAGCCAGGTAAAACACAACAATGTGCCCCTTCATTTGTCTTCTGTCACACTGCAGATTATTTAAAATTAAATCTTTTCGAAACAAACTTGTCCTTCTATTGATATATATGCAATAACATGCAATTGTGCTGCATTCATGATGTTGAATGTATTGAAAAAGTTATCCAGCCTCAAGATACATGCAGTAATATTGTAGTCTACAGAGTCTGTTGTGCCACTGCCAACTGAATTCAAAAACAGTTCTGAATAATGTCCAAAAAGAAGTAAAATCCATCCACCCATTAGCTATTCCTGCCTCACCCTGAAGAAGGTCATAGGTCGTACCCCAGCTGACATTATGTGAAAAACGGGGAACACACAGGAACAAATCTAACACAAAGAGACAGACAACCATGCACACTCACACCTACAGCTAATGTAGAATCACCAGTTAATTATGCATTGCATGTCTTTGGACTGCGAGGGAATTAAGAGCACCCGTAGAGAGAACCGCCGTAGGCACAGGGTGAGCGCTAACCGCAGTGCCGTCCCCATTAAGACGTGAAAGAAAATTCTGAGAGTGCACTCATTTCTAACTGGCTCTGTGCTATTGTCTGTCGCCTCAATCTGTGAAGCATTACTAAAAGACAGTGAGTGGTTCCAACAAAAGCAAAAAGCTGAAGCGTACAGTCCCGCTTGTGACTGCACTTTGTGGTAATACCAAGGTGATTATCTTTTGCTGTGTCTGGCTTGGGACAGAAAGACACGTTTTTCCTTCTCAGCAGGACTTTTCTGTATTTTGTACAGCTGTTTCTGAAATGCCACAGGTCCATCTTTCTAAATACTACTCGGGAAAAACCTTTGTGGATGGTAATTTTGGTCCGTACAGACTGAAATTTCTATACAACTTGGTGGCTAAACGATAAGTATTACTGACTTTAGTCACCTCCATATTCAGCCTTTTAGGGTAAGGATAATGGAGATTTTTTTCTGGACTGTTTTTGCGGTCCCTTATAAATTCATGCCAGTATTATGCATTAAGCACAAAGGAGCACACCTTCAGCTGTAAAGGGTTGAAATGTACAGTGAACTGACATGGTTGTGATGGCTAAGCGTTGTATTGGAACCACTCAGTCTTGAATTTGTCTCTCCTCGCTGTAAGTGTTTCTCCAAACTGGCAGAGTAGAATAACTGAACTGGATCAATACAGCAGTTGTCCATCGGGTTCATATGGACATACTGTGAGGCAACACAAAAGTAAGTCAGTAAAAAAGATGGAAAGCAAATGCCCTCAGAGGCTTTTGTACCATTCAAAGAATGTTTTAAGGTCAGGAAAATGCCAAACTGTGCGAGTGACGCTTTTGTTTACTTCTGTAAAGGTCTTTTTTGGATGTTTGAGTTTGTATGTATATCTGTCTGTGCTCTTTTAGGCAGCTCTGGATGAAGGTTTGCAGCTTCAGCAAGCACTTCATGAAGTGCTCTCAGAACAACACTTTCTTCTAGACTGTCTGGGAGCAAAAGTGACAAAGGAACTGGGTAAAAATGCTTCAAGTGCTCTTAATGAAAGCCAACCTACAGTTGAAACCCTATCCAAAGGCATGGTGAGTTTCTCCTCAGTCACACACAGTGAGGTGCAGTTCAAAATTCTGAGTGTAAAATTAATGTTTCTGTAAATTTGATGATTTTACAGGTCAGTTACACTGGCAGTGATGTGCAAGTAGGAAACAAAGAGTTGTTGAGCAAAAGTCAAAGTGGAACACCACATTCACCTTCAGCTGATGGAACTGCAGTCACGGGTCCTTGTTCTTCTCCTTCTTCGGCAACAGACACCAAGGATAACTCAGGAAGTTGTTGGAATGACAACCAAATTAAAACGAATGGCACTTTCCACACTTTAGAAACATGTCATCCTTCCACTGAGCCTGTCACAGACACGTTAGGGGGATCAAATGTGGAAGCTGATGTCAGACGGCAAGACAAAGCAAACATTTCAATGCAAAAAGTAGACATTTCTGTCACGGGTGCAAGTCGCCTTGTGGAAAAAGATGAAGATGATGCCTTAGGTCCTATTCAAGTCCCATGTTCAGAAATTGCAGATGTTTTACAATCAAAGACACAGCAAGAATCAGAAGCGTTGACATTCACTTCACCAAATCTGAACCTAAATCTTAGGTCAAAAGATGATACAGGCATATTGTACACTGATACCAGTTACCACAAGGAGACAGACAACAATTCTATTTCTACCCCAGAAAATGTACCTGAGCATCTCGCAGCACAATCAGAGGCCACTACAGATGCCCAGGAACAAGAGAGACACTCTGAGGACATCGATGTGACCACAAAGAAAGTGTTTACAATTGTGTTGGATGTGGAGCCACTGGGCATGCAGCAAAGCACAAATGCTCGTGCCTCCAGTCCACACACACTCAGATGTTCTCCGGGAGCAGAGCTGTGTGATGCAACACTCACAGATTTGTCAAATACAGGATTCCCTGAGAAGAGACCTGAACCCTCCACTACACCAGTCAGCCCAGAGTCAGACGTAACCAGCTGTCATTTAGCAGCACGATCAGAGACATTTACTGCTGCTCAACAACAAGAGGAACTCTGCAAGGATGTCAGCCAGAGCCCAGATAAAGTCTTTACTATAGTGTTGGATGTGGAGCTGCAGCCATGGGACACACAGCACAGTGAAAATGTTGAGGCCAGCAGTCCAGATGTGCTCAGATGTTCACAGGGAGTGGAGCTTTGTGATGCAAAGCTCAGAGAAGTTTCAAACGCAGGATTCCCTGAGAGACAATCAGGACTCATTCCCACATTAATCAGTCCTGAATCAGATGAGACAGACTTTAAAAGCCAGTATGTGAATTCTCAATCAAACCCTTTGGTGATAGTAAATGTAGAGGAAGAGGAGGGAACATCTGCACGCGCCAAATTGCCATGTAAAGAAAACCACAAAACCAGTGAATTAAAGCGCAACGAGGTGTTGACATCCTCCATATCATGCCACACTGTTGCCAAATGTCAGCTCACCCATGCACATGAAGCAGAAACAACATTTCCAGATGTTGAACAAGAGGAGATGACAGATTTCTGTCATTCTAGGAAACAAACAGCGAGCTCATCCTCGTGCACTGTGGAGGATTCTGTACAAACTGGAGATGCTTTGACTAAATTGCAAATATCTGCGACTGACAAACAGGTGACGGCTGCTGACACTGATCCGAACACAGGTACAGCATGTGAGCAGGTGGCAAAAGGAGAAAACACAGAAGAAGCAAATGACTCTGAATGCATAGAAAGCAAACAGTCAAAAGTGCCAGAGAGACGAGACAGAGCTTCGCTGTCAGAAGAAGAAAGTGAATGGAAGTTGCTTTCGGCGCTGGAGGACAAGGGGGCGACACAGGGACAGGTAGGTGTCATATAAACATTTCACTGAGTGGGTTTTGCACTTTTACTTCATCATGATTTTGTTTTCTCTGATAGAAAAAGTTTTAATAAAATAACAGTGTAATACTAGAAGTGACTTGTTTGTATGTGGGGCAGGGCTGGTGGATATCTCACAGACTAGACTTGCCGTGTCAGCAGTTAAGCTCGGCTGAGATTACATACACCTCCTGTTTAATTTAAATCAGGTAAAACTACTTTGTGTTGTCAGCCTCTAACACAGTGACAGTGGCTGGTGCTTCAACCTGAAATGTCACGTTTACTTCTCTTCAGTATGTAGACATTAATACATGTAATCAAAATAACACCAGCAGACTGAAAAATAACAGATTTTTGACCTTGTAAACCGACAGCAGTTTCTGGGCATTTTTAGCTCAATCACTGTTGTCTTATTTTTCACTGCAATATAAAATATTGTCCCTCTGTGGTTGGCTTTTTTACACTACTCTGCCCATCTCTTACTGAAAGCTATTTCCCCATGCTACATGTATCTTCCATTAACTTGTTATATACCATTTTTGGGCCTGGCTGCATTTATTTTATTGATCTCAGTCTCCTCACTGCTCTGTTTTAACAACATGCAGTTCATCTGAAAAGCCTCTGAATTTTTGCAGCTTACTGTATAATGACTGCTCAATTGCTTTGAGGAGCACAGGGTTTAATTTTTTATAGAATATGGTGCAAACAGTTCATTTTTTGGTTATTTCGGAATGAGAAACTAAAGTGATTCGGATTAAATATCACAATTTTTAAGCTTTTTTCTGTCAGTGTTTTCTGATGGAACTATACGTGACACATGATATAGCTCACAGAGCCTTAGAAAGCTGAAATCCTGATGCTTCTTTATGTGCTAGTGTAGTTTTGGCTCATTTTTTTGAACAAGAAGAAGAAACCATGCCTTTGTTTTGGAGTTCAGAGGGTTATCTTAGCAATACTTCATCAGTAGGCTTCATCTGTTCTGACTGACTAGTTGGGAGATCCATCCATCCATCCATTATCTATACACCACTTAATCGTCATTAGGGTCGCGGGGGGGCTGGAGCCTATCCCAACCGACTTAGGGGGAAGGCAGGGGACACCCTGGACAGGTCGCCAGTCCATCGCTGGGTTACACTTAGAGACAGACAACCAAGCACACTCACATTCACACCTACGGACAATTTAGAATCACCAATTAACCTCAACATGTTTTTGGACCTTGTGGGAGGAAGCCGGAGAACCCGGAGAGAACCCACGCTGCACGGGGAGAACATGCAAACTCCACGCAGAAAGATTCCGGTGCCCCCACCGGGACGCGAACCGGCAACCTTCTTGCTGCGAGGCAATAGTGCTTAGTTGGGAGATCCAGATACTTATATCCTAAAGTAGCCATTAATACCTGAGTTTTGGTTTCAATTGGGGGTTGTTACTCCTCCCCCTCGTTATGTGAGTCGTTAGTGCTCCCCTTGCCACAAAGGGGATCGTTAGGGTCTTTTGTGGCTGGGGGTAAATGCAGTTTCATTTTCCTGGGGAGGGAATAGCAATGTGCAATTCTGTACGGTATTTTATCCTATGATTTTATAGAATACAGTGGAACCTAACAGGAAACAAGCAGGTACATATTTGAAAGATGTTCAACAAAGATTTCCAGCTGAACAGCAAACATTGTGATTAACGGTACCATAGTATAACTCCTTTGCACCAAGTTAACGCAAGTCTCAAGACTTTTATCTTTTAGCTCAAAATGTTGTAAATTGTTATTTCTACCATGCTTGTAGTCCCTCAGGTTTCAGCCCTGTTCCAAACAGGCTGTTTCACTGTCTGTAGTTTTAAGCCCACAGACCTCTCAGCAGAGGGCTGCAGTCACAACTCTCTGTCTCCTGTTTGTCAAATCATCATGAGGGCTCTAATTGAGGCTTTTCAACACTATTACGCGCTCCTGTTTGTGAGTCCACGTATCTGCAGACTTTCATGAGGGACTTCCTCATAGTTCATAGTGAAATCTGTGACAGAGTCGTTCTGTTCCCGACATGACGTACACAAACCAAGCATGCACCGTGTAGGAAGAAACTGACTGAAGGTTTACTGGTTTGACAGAATCCGCCGGCTGCTTGCTGTTGTGTTTATTTATTGTGCGTTTGTAGAGTTGTTTGTATTTTTAGTCAAACATCAGGATTTTATAGATGTCCATGGCTTCCCTAACTTTTGGTAGTTTGCTAAAATGTATAAACACTCAACATGGCAGCGATTCAATCAATGAAACATAAGTTCAAATCCACTTCCATTTTTAGTGGAGATACATTTCTATGAAAATACATTTGTAAAATGGGAGTTCTGACTCCATTTCTTAAAATACTCAGGGCTCCAAACTGTACACATGTGTGAAGCCTTGTGCTTTTATGAAAAAAGGTTTACATATCACCTGGCTACAGTGAAGTCTCACAGCTTTTCTGTCAACAACAAAACCAGAAAAAACAACAGATTGGAGAACATATTCAGCCAAGTCAAGTGTTGTCATTCTCCTTGTATTTCCAAATGCAGACTTGTAATTCATATTTTTTTTTTGTTCCTGAACTTCTGTCTATTTACAAAAAATACCCATGTCCATAGTGTGCCCCATCTGTGTTTAGTGCTGAGGCCTTAGTGTGGTTATTGGGATCAGGCCTGTGTCTACTGAGAGACAGAGAGGAGCCCAGAGGAGGAGGAGGAGGACCTGCTAACCTGTTATAACATCACAACAGGCTGAATCTCAATCTACCAGAAATTAAACTATGTGTGAGATAGCTCCTGTGCATTTGTTTAATGAAGCAATAGGAGAAGATATTTAGGTCTGACTCAATGTATTTATTTATCAGATAGTTGAATAAGCATACAGAGCTCTGGATCAAACTTCTCACCCTCGCACCAATAAAGATAATATCAGGGCACGAAGTGTGACTGACTGCCTCGCCCTGATCCAGGGTACTTATACTGTTACATGAGAATGTGCACAGAATGTGTTGCAGCCAGCTGATTGGACCCTCCATGTCCTCGAGCCTTCTTCCACCATCTCGTAGGTGCAGAGACTTGCCACTCTGCACCAACAGTTTCTCCCTCCTGCACATACCTGCTTGTGGCAGAGAAATACACAAACCACCAAATCCTGTCTCCACTTACGCTTTCTCATGCTGCAATTGTTTGTCAGTTGTGTTGATTATGCCTTAAGATAATAATGTGAGATTAAGATGATAATAAAAGGTGAGGAGAGTAACACCAAATTATCAAAATATGAAATAATGTGAGATTAGTATAATACGAGATGATCAAATATAAAATATATGATCCTAACAGCTGGTGCAGAGACAGTTTCTGATCTATGAAGAAATGAAAGAAATGAGGAGATGGTTCTGTCCCATAAATTGTGGGTCTTTAAATTACGTGGAGACACATATTTATGTTCAAAATCCCCCCCCCCCCAAAAAAAAGGGGGGGATTTGAAAAAAAATTTTTACCTTTTTGCTAAGGGAAGACTCAGTTGTCCCAGGTAAAAGTACTGTCCCTGTTTTTTTTTGTTTGTTTGTTTCGGTTGCTCTTATCAAATTATTTTGACATTTACAAACCATTGTTACCCTCAAGTAGTCTTATAGGAGAGAGTGTGTGCGTGTGTGTGTGCGTGTTAGCAACGGTATTACTGACACTTTGCAACAATCGTATTCTAAATTTCAGCCAAATTAACATGAAATAAATTTTCTTTTACTACCTCTATTTCTCTCACTGTTTGCATTTGAAAGCCATAATTTTGCTAATTCATAGATTTTTGTTTTTGCAAAATTTATTTTTTTTGGAACATTGTTTGTCCTGTGAAAAGAAATGTGATTTTTTTAGGTGATAAATGCATATGCTGTGTATTGCCATGTGTGTTGCACAAAATCCATTATAAACTCTCCATTGCAACACAAATTGATGTAATACAGCATGTAACAAAACACAAAATGGCATTCTGAACAGTGAAAATAAGCTTCCCTATTATATTTCATTGTTAAACCCTGACTGGTGACAAGAAAAATCTACCAACAAATTCCTTTTAAGAAAAGTTAAACATTAACAAGAGAAATCCCCACATGATTTTATAGTTTTTTTTTTCCTGGCACCTTATGTTCTCCCTGCAGCAGCTCCAAAGATGGATAACAAACTGTGGTATGAAAGCAAAAAAGGTAAAAAAAATATAGCTGAGATAGAAATGGATCCTCCAGCCAGTGAGGCCTGTGCTGCCACCCAGAAGAAAAAGACTAAGGAAGCACCACTTTCTGGACCACTTGCCAACAGGCTTGATAGTGATATCTGCACTTCTCCCTCCCGACAGTAGAGTCGGTTATTTCATGTGGAGTTTGTTGTTACAGTTTCTAGATGCTTCAAAGATTGGTTGAGGAATTTCTCTCTTCAACAGCCTGTCATTATCCTGAGTAATAACAGCATGCCTTCTCCCTGTAAACAGCTGACATTAGTTTCCACTGATGACTGCTGTGTGCACTAAGATGTGCTCTGAGTCTCAAGTACATCCAGCACTCAGTTAGCAGGCTCCTAGATCACAATCACAATCAGCCCTGTTGGCCTAGTGCGTGTCAACATACAAGGATTCAGTTATTTCTTTGCTCACAGAGTAGTTATGCTTAATTCAAGCATGCAGTTACACATGGGAAAGAGTTTAAAGAAAGGCAAATACGTGTTTTACTACTATACTATGATATAGATATGTGTAAAGAAAAATGTCTGAACCAGATTCCAGTTTGATGAGAAGAAATAAAAGGCGTTCTTAAGAGTTCATGAAGTTATTTCAATTTTAAAAAGACAGTGCTTATATCAGCTGGAATGTGTCCGGTGATGTTGGCTGTTTTGCACTTTGATGCCATTTCTCAATAAATGTATTTGCCAATTTTATCTAAATAATAATGTATGTACACATTGATAATGGTAGTGAACTATGTGTTCAAATCATTTGAATATACTTTAAAAACTTCAGTGAGGAATCCTTTAGATTATTGTTGCACCATTTGACAGAGAAAGATAAACAAATGAATGTCATATAAACTTAGCTGTCACAACCCTGCCCTTAAGTGTCATATTTTTTTCCCCCATGAAACAGGTGTGAAGCGTGCAGCCTGCTTCTGCTCCGCCTACACCTGCCTGCAAAACACACCTTTGTCATGCCCAACATATTTTTAAAGGCACCTCCTCGCTTAGGATCTAGTACCCTGGCAGCTCATGTCAGGTTTTGGTGTTTGTCCTGTCTAACCAAGTTACAACAAATGTGCTTTTTCTTACAGAAGCAAACAGAAATTTGTTAAGGAATAAAAGGAGTTCTTGTCCCTCGGGGCTGACAGTCACATTCTTGCGTTAACCGTACAGACTCGCTCGGCCACTGTCAACATAGTAACATTTACCACGCCAGAGGAGGGAAAGAACAGGAAGTGCTTGTTACAAACACAGGCAAGAAGAAGTCTTAAATGTGACACCACCCCTGTCCTCTGTCTGTGCAGCCTCAGAGCCAGGAAAGCATGGAGCCTGAGAGGACAGCGCTGCGTCTGTCAGCTGATCTGGCGGCTACAGAGACAACAGGTGGATCACCAAAGTCCTCCAAACACAGGTCCACCATGCAGGAGATTTTTTCTGAGGTCGAGAGCTTGGTTGAAAGAAGTAACATCATAAACGTGAGTATGAACTGGGTTTGGTGTTCATTCAATGTGCTTCTGTCTCAGAGTTCGAGCTGCTGTCGGCTTGCTGTCTCTGGGGTTGAATTCTGAACTGACTGGAAGAATAAAAAAGAAATAAACTAAGAAAAACAAAACATTTAAAAAGGAATTGTGCACTCAATTGTGATGTTTTTTTTTCCTGGTTGCTGCATGTTTACAGCAGCTCCCAAGGCTGATAACAAATGAGTTATGAAATAAAAGAAGGTAGAAATAAAGCTGATGAGACAGACAATGGGTCTAAAGCCAGTACGGCCTGCTCTGACGTATTGGTAAAAAGAAATGATGTGTTAAATGTGATTATCAGCTGGTTTTAATTGGAAAAAAGTATACACATGCAATTTGTCAAAAGGGGCAAGAAGTCAATTAGAAATGCACGGGACAGTGAACAGATAAGAGCAGCAGTGTTTTGATTGATGTTTGTATATTCCCCTGATGCTGCAGACAGGAAGGTCAACAGGAAAGATCTGTGAGATACAGGGGTTTCCTGTTGGCTCTAATTATGCACAGGACTGTACAGTTTGTAACATACACGATTATAGTTTAAATGATTTTGTGTGATATTGAAATTGTACAAATTGAAAGGGTAATTCATCACGTTAGACAAATGGGTCAGCCAATGTCAATTCATTCACTTTAATTCATTAACTCGGTTCTATAAAACATTTAAAATTAATTTTGAGAATTTTGTATTTTTTCACACCAGGGAAATTCTCTATTTTTTAAATGTATTTTTTAAACATTCTAGATGGATAGAAGATAGATGATAGCCACATTTAACAAGATGATAATTAAACATACAACACAATAAATCTCATGTATATTAAAACACATCAAGGCAGGTGCTGTAACAACAAGGCAAGTGAAACAGGAGATCAATGCTATACTAGAAAGAAAACAATACAGAAGAGTCACCATTCCTCAGCAGATTTACTTTTTATTTTCCTCAGTAAGGAAATTTCACAAAAGCCATTTCAATGTCTGCTTTGGTCTTAGTGTCAAGTTGGAGCTGGAGACAGAACATGTACCATTGGCACCAACCGATATCATCACATGTAGGCCTTTAAACAACACAGCTGACCCACCTGGGAGTTGTATAGCCTTACTCCTCACATCCAGCACCTCTTAGTCTTTTTCAGTGGGGAATCCAGTCACTGCTTACCATTATACACACGGGCTACATCGTTTTAGTGGCCTAAATATGATGATATCTGTCGCATTAGATTTCTTGGTTTCAAAGCCCCGTCATCCACTACAGCAGCATTCACACGACTTTCTTGCAGCACATCATAGGCACCATTTACAAGTTCCCATGCAATTTTATTAAGACAACATACTAGCATTGTTTAACCGTGACTGAGTTACCCGATGATCTTTTGCTTTTCATTTGCTACCACTAAAATAGATTCAGGCCTTAAAAAAAGAAATCAGAAAAAAGAAAGGCAGAATGACAACAGGTGATTGGGTTCTATTTTTGCCATCCCATGTGATGAGTGAGAAGCCCTACAGTTGATTAAATTCTACTATCACATACTAGATTTTCTGAAACCTGAAAACAGAGTTGGAAGGAGGTGCAGAAGTCTACTTTCCTCTAAGAGCACTTTAATTGCTATATTCTGGAAACTCAGTGTGGAATTTCTGCCCAGTGATGCCAAACGATACAGCACACCCCAACTTTAAGGATGCTGTAACATTTTTTCCCCATCAGTTTAATTTTGTTCATTTATTTAATTGTTCTTTACAGAGAACCCCACACATTGATTTAAACTGGTACCTGAAGTCCTCTCTTGGCGAACCAGAGATTCGATTGGTACGGACTGTTCAGCAGATTTTGGCATGTCGATATCAACCAGCACAACTCAGTGTCACAGCCATGGCCAAACAGCTGGGGGAGGCAGAGGTAAGTTCTTCTATTTACTTCTTTTTCTCAGTTATCACTGATGTACAGCGCAGCAATGTTGACATTTTGCTACAAAAAAAAAAACAGATAAAATGAATACAGATTTTACTACATCAGAGCATGAATGTTGAAACCTGTCTAATCTGACTGCTGCAGGAGTACAGGCGCTGTGTGCAGGAGCAAGTGGCTACTATGGAAAACTCAAGCGCTGCTGTGGTTTGTGATCCAAATGCTTTAAAAAATGCTGAAGGTCAATGGAGTGCTGCACTGCTTGATGCTTCTGCTACAGTGCAGGTTAAAGCAGCACAGCTGGATCAGGTCAAACAGTATCACAGACAGATGAGGATCACCAGAGCTTTCCTGGAGGTTTTAGCTGCTGAAAAGGAAAAAATGAGCTTGTGAGTAAATCTTGTGATTTGAAAGTAAGCTTGCGTGCACTTGACATGCGGTACACTAATGCTCTTTTGTTGTGTGTTTTGTCAGAAGTGCTTTGGGAAGCAGTGCCCTTCAGGCTGAAAAACTCCATGCTCTGCTGCAAACCATGGAGAAGAAGAAAGACATGATGGAAGACTTACTGCGATCAAGCGGCCAGCTGTCAGTCCACTTGAGTGACGCTGAAAGTTCAGGTGCTCTTCTCGCTCAGCTTGGAGATGTTCAGGAGGAATGGAGGCTTCTAGAAGGAAGTATCAAAAGAGCTCTGCGGCACGCCTCGAACTCCACCTGTCAGTCCTCACTTCTTTTAAAAGAGGCCGAACAGCTTAAAGCCAAACTTGAAGCTCTTCAGTTATCCAGCTGCGAAAGCCTTGACAGCAAAAGTGCTTTAGAGTGTGTCTGTCTGACCACAGACCTAAAACTGTACAACCAGCTTTATCTGCATTTACAGTCCCAGTCCGATGCACTCATCAAATTTTCTCTGGGTCAGAAAGAGAAGGATCAGATCGAACATGATCTTCGGGGATTGGGGATCTTGCTCAATGTCACCAAGAGGAAACTCGACTCTTTCACCAACAGCTGTGGCAGCAATTCTTCAACTAAAATCAACAAGCAGCTACGAGATTTGATTGTATGGGCCAAGCAGGCAGAAAACCACATCTCTATCGGGGAAAAGTTAGCTCTTTTCCCCGAGGAGGCCCGTATTCAGATTGTTGAAATGAAGAAATTCCAGACTGATATTTTGTCGAGACGATCTAAGATGCAAATTCAAGTTGAAGAAATGAAAGATGTATCCTCTGACATGGAAAAAGAAGAAAGCGATCAAGTATTGAAGACAATAGAAGACCTGTATGAAGCTATTTCGGACAGCTTGGATCACGTTCTTGACACCATGAAGAAAAACCTCAATGAAAGAGAGAAACTGCTCTGCGAGTTTGTTAGCATGGATGCCTGGCTTGCAGAGACTCATGCTAAAAGAGACCCCTGCAACCACATTGAGAATGTTTCAAAAGCTGATGTCAAGAAGCTAGAGAGCGAGCTAAAAAGTCACAAATTAGCCACAGTGGAGGTAGAGACGCAGCTAAAACTGCTGGAGGCAATGTCAGGAAGTTGCAAGAGAATCGCCATAGGGTTGAGTCCAGGAGAGAGCCGCTACCTTGTCAACAGACTCTCCGGTCTTTGGACAGAATTAGATGGACTGTTGGCTCATGAGAAAGCCACCAGCTGGGAATTAGAGGAGCTAATTCACGAGCGGACATCTTCAGATGAGGAGTTATCGACCATCCAGGCAAGCTTAAAGCAAATTTCTGATGATTTGGAGCAGCAGAAGTTTCCCTTGACACAAGACACCCTTTCGATGGTTACCCAATTGAAACACATGCTAATGGAGCATCAGTGTCAAGTACAGGAGCTTCAGCATTGTCAGGAGACCAAGCGAAGCCCCTTGCTGTGCTCCGTCGGGGAACTGCAAGACAGGTGCAAAGCTCTCAGTGTAAATGCCTTTGAACAAGACAAATATCTTCACCTGAGAGGACAAATGGAGGAATCTCGGGACATTGTCAAAGGGCAAATCCAGTACGCCCAAAACAAAGCAGTCAGCGTGGGTGAGAGGTTTAAACAATGCCAAACTCTCCTAGTTGAACTTCCACTGATCAAGACACAATGTCAAGAAGCAGCCGATCAACTGGAGGCCATTGCTCAGGAGTTAGAGCCATCTGAGCTCAGTTCAGAGAGGGAGAGGATTCACCACACTGTGGAAACGTTGGTCTCCTGGGAGAGCTCTGTCACAGATGATGTCAAAAACCTAGAGGCCAAGCTTCTGTTAGGGCTGAGATTCAACTCTGAGCTTCCAGCCTTAATAGAGCAGTTACAAAGTACAAGACTGAGGCTGGAGGGAACCAACGCAGTCATCCCAGAAGAAAAAGCTATAGACGTTGCACTACGACAGTATTGGGTAATTTGGAGAAATATGGAGTCTGGGATGCGAGTGTTGGAAGGTCTGGGACGGAAAGAAAAGATTAACCTAAGAAACTACAAGGAGCTGTATTTTCTTAGAGATGCGGCCATGCAGGAGTGCCACTCATGGATGGTAAACTATTAATACCTATATGTTTGTTTGTTTGTTTCACTTTGTAACTCATCATTTATAGTGTTGTTTTTCTAAACGTTGCCTGATCATGCAACATGTTTTCAACAGGTCAGTCTATCACAGGCCAGAGAATCCTTGAAAGATTATCAGTGGGCTGCTCAGGGAGCAATAGGCTTTCTTCATAACGCTGAAGCAACCTTCTTATCAGCTCCAGGAGGGTTTCTGGACTGTACTGAGGAACAGAGACAGACCCAGCAGGCTTTAGAAACTCTTGAAGATGGATTTCAAGCACATATTTGCCACCTTGTGGAACGGGTACCCCAGCAACCCTGCCTCTCCCGCCCAGAGACGGAGCAGCTCCACATCAGCATCCTCAGCCAGCTGCTGGTGGGAAGAGCTGTACTGGAGGCTCAGGCACAGCTCAGGCTGGAGACCTTGCAGAGGTACCGGGCTCTTAAGGATTCCTACAGGCATATTCCTATGTATACCTTTTGTCTTTTTTATGTCTGCATTTGTATGTTCACATTTTTTTGTTCTCTAAGGTGTGAAATAACACAAAAAAGTCACAGAAAGTGTCATGAAGACATCCGTCAGCATCTTTCAGGGTGTGAAGCCAGGCTTTCAGAATGTGCTGCAGAACAAGTGGCGTCATATGACAAATGCACTGCCCAACAAAGAAGAGCTAAGGTAGGTTTGTTGCAGGATTATTTTGCAGCTCATGACTAAGACTGCATACATGGTCTACTTCAGCCTTGCATTTTGGGGATTTTACATATGCGAGCCATTTGGCATGCTTACCGAATGACTGTAGGGATGACAATGCCAGCCGTCTTGTCCAGATTTAAAATATTTCAAGAGCTGTTTGGTTGTCATGAGATTTTGTAGAATTATTCATGAGGAAGCTATACCGAGAGGATGGATTTTACTGAATTCTGTCTTGGTGATCATTTGACATTTCTTTTTGGTGCCACCAGCACGTTGGCAACTTTGTCTTTTAAGAAAATAGCTCAACAGCTATGAGATAGGTTTCCCTGATATTTGTTTCAGGTATCTGTTGTGTCCAGACAATGAACTCCTGATCTTTCCTCTGTCAGACATGTGTGGTTTAATGTAAAATGTCAGACCCTTTATGTCCTCCTTAGGAATTGTAATACGTTTGGGTCTGTCTGACATTTATAATTAATTCGCACCATCAAAATGGATTAAATGAGCAATGGATTTGAAACTTTCATTATCTTATTTTACTCAGTAAACATCAGCATGTTGTCATAGTGAGTATTTTGCCTGTTAACCACCAAGCAGCGAGGCTCAATCACACTTGCTCAGCTGGATTTCTATTCTTAGTCTTGTTTTACCTGTTGGAATGCTACATGTATCTGTATCAGTGCCATAGGAATGTATTTGGAATTTTGATTGACAAATGGCGCATGTACAGAGAAAAAGTGCAAGTTTCATTGGACCTTTACTTCATCTCTTTATAAAGCTTCTGATGGAAGATCTTCACTGTCTGGCTGGGAAGATTGAGGACCTGATAGCTGGATGTCCGATGCAGGGCTGCGGGGTTGGAAAGGACGGGGAGCTTGGTGCTCTGTGGAGGCGCTGGGCATCATTACGGCGGGGTGTCGGCCTCCTGATGGCACACACCGAGCAGAGAGGAGAGGAATGGAAGGACATCACTACAAGTGTAAGTAATCCTGTCCACAAATCCTAAACACTAAATTACATTACTAAGCTTTTTTTTTTTCTTTTTAAACTTGTTTGCACTGCCGAATTCTGTTACAAAACTGATTAACTCGGGTATTGTAAGCTGTAAGTGAACTGATGGTAGAGCTGCTCACACTAAGCTGACACTCTCTTTGAAATAAATGTTATTCCTCTCTGATAATAGAGGGGGTTATTGCAGCTAAATGTACAGGAAATAAAGGAAAAGCAATATACAGAAATGATTTACAATTCAATTCAATGTCCTTTAGATGGAGCAGTGTTGCAGCTTTCTGGCCAGTCTTCAGGCTGAGGTTCCAGACTCCTCCACTGTGAGCTTCACTCAGGAGGAACCCCAGGAGCTCCTTGCCCAGGCTGAGATGTACCAGGCTGGTTTAGAGCAGGAGCAGCAGGCCCTGGCGTCCCTCGAGCATCGGCTGGAACACGCCCTGAGCTTATGTACTTCCCAGGATTTCGTCAGCCCCGGACCTGTAGGCAAAACACTGGTGAAGATCCAAGAGAATGTCAGGAGGTGGGATTTACGTTTAATATACATGTGAAAAGTGATTACTCATTTATATCAGAGATTCTGAGAATGCACTGTTCTCCACAGCTTGAAAGAGAGAAACCTGCTGGTTGTAGCTGCAGCCCAGGCAGAGGAGAAAGAGAGGCAGCAAGTCCAAGAGGAGATAGGAGAGGTTGAGAAACACGTGCTCGCCATTCTTCCGGCTCTGGAAGCATGTTCAACTCCAAACAAAAGACAGGTTGGGGCTCTTTTTTTTAATGTCTCACAAGCTTGGAAACTTGGAATTTGAGATTTTGCAAAGAAGCAGATAACGTCACACTGACTGTAGGAAAACAAAGATATAAAAGTTTTAGCTGTAATTGATCTAATTGACCTGCTTTAAACAAGTTTGCTTTATCGTCTGGGTTTGTTTTGACGTCCACAGTCCAGTGAGAAACTAAAGCCCCTTTCAGATGTGAACTCCTTTCTGTTAATCTGAGGACATCAGAGTGTGTCAGCTTCCTGTCTGAATGAGCACTCATCAGTTTTCCATAAAATCTGTAACGGCAATCCTGCCAGGTCAGACCTAGTAACATGTCTGTCTTTTTGAACATGGTGCAAGTCTGAGTTACGGGCCTTCACAGACCACATGGAGAATCAATAATCAAGAGGGATTTTTCAAATACTAGCTGGTCCCTCACTGCCATTTGATAAATCAGGAGTCATAGCCTATATTTAAAAGATGAAAATATGTACTGGAGTAACAAATCAAGTGAGAAATAATCATTTTCCTCGTAGACTCTGATACAATTCAACCTGTTTTTACAACCAGAGAAGTCACTCCCTGCTGGCCAGTAGAAAAACAAAATGTAGGTTTGAGGCACTTCTGTATTCGCTTAACTTTTTAGACCTGGAAGCTACAACCAACTTTTATACACTTGTAGAATATATGGGTACAGGGATTGGTAAACTGCCTCTAGAAGATGCTGCACTTGTTAGCGCTTCGTCCTTTAACCTTTCACTGAAAAATAAGTTAAAGAATTTTGAAAGGAGTTTAGTGCTAAACTGTTTTCTGTATTTCCTCTCTTTCCAAATGCGGTCTTGCATTTTCACACTGATAGGGGCTCAAAGAGGATTTGTCCACCCAGAAGACCAAGCTTAAGTCTATCATGGACAGCGTACAGAAGCGGTATGCAGAGATTCCTGCTGATATTGGAAGGCTGATACAAGAAGCTCAGCTGTCTCTACAGAGTGCAGAGCAGAAGGTGACAAGAAACAGAGCTGAATCCATCCTTGATGGAGCATAAATGATCTCCCCCACCTAAAACCTAGCATGTTTTTGTAAATGTGTATATGTATGTTCAACAGCTTATTGACAAGAACAGCCCAGTTGCAAAACTGGCAAACAGAGTGAGGGAGCTGGGTTCTGGTCTGGAGAGAGTGAAGGCTTTACTGGAGCAGAGAAATCCAACAGTCAGTGAAGCTCGAAATGTCCTCAAGGTGTGTATTTTTTGTTTTCTGTATTTTTTGTGGACTGCAAGATGACTTGGTGG